GGGTAGAAGGCCGAGGTGCCCAGTCAGCACTGGGAGGCAGACCCACCACATGAGGCACTTGGTTGTGGGGTTCACACATTCTGAAAAGTTGGTTCTGCCACTTATTAAAAAAATTTTTTTTGATACTAGGGCTTGCACCCAGGAGCGCTAAACCACTAAGGCACATCCTCAGCCCTTTTTATTTTTTATTTAGAGACAAGGTTTCAGTAGGTTGCTTAAGGACTTGCTAAATTGCCGAGGCTAGCCTTGAACTTGGAATCCTCCTGCCTCAGCCTCCTGAGCTGCTGGGATTACGGGCGTGCACCACGACACCCAGAAGTTCTGCCTCTTTTGGAAAGGAACATCAAGTTGTGTGCCAAAGCCTGGGGATGGCTGTGACTCTCAACAGCAAGGCTGCAAGCAAGGGGAGAGAGGCGGAGCCCTCGCCTCTCTGCAGGCCAACATGCCCACCTTGAAGGTCTGCGAGCAAGCATCAGGGTGGGGTCACGCAGGGTCTTTAAAAAATGCTCCCCGCCAGGGGGCTGCTGAGTTGTGCTGCCCAAACCCGGAGCCCTGACTGTGAGCTGCAGGGAGGAAAGGGTGGTGCTGGGGTTCCACAGAGAGGCTGTGCACCCACCCAGGCAGGGCCAGGTCCACCCTGGGCAGCAAGCCTCAGGGCACTGAGGTCCAGGGCTCTTCCACATTCCAGCCTTTGTTCTGCTTCTAAACCTGAGGTCGGGAGTGGCCCGGATTCTTATCTGACTCTGACAGACCTCAACTGCAGAAGTTCCTTTTTCTACCTGTCCTGCTGTGTGGTGAGGACAGATGGGCTCTGGGCACCTCCCGCGAGCTGGGTGGTCCTTAGCTGCTAGGAAGCTGGAGGTGCAGGACAACTGCTCCCAAGTGAGCCCACCTGATGCCAGGTGTACACCAGTCTTACAAGGGCCTCGACGGTGGCCTGCGTCTGTGGGGTTGAACCCTAGGAAGGCTGGCTCACAGGCTCTGAAGACAGGGTAACTGCAGGGAAGGACCAAAGGAGGGAGACAGCTCAGCAGGAGCACAGGTTTACAGGACTAAACTGCCTGCCCAGGGGCCCACGAGGCTGAGCCCTCTTCACTTTATCTCTGGGGTTTAGGCCCGGCTCAGTCAGAGTGACTCTGACGTGACTCTTGTTCTACAATGGAGGACGTGTTTCAGATTGGCATTGCCTGTCAGAATTAATATTGTCAAAATGGCTATACTACCAAAAGCACTATACAGATTTAATGCAATTCCTATAGAGGTTCCAAGGATGTTCTTCAGAAAAAGCAATCATGAAATCCATTTGGAAAAATGAGAGGCCCAGAATAGCCAAAGCAATTCTCAGCAAGAAAAGTGAATCACAATAACAGACTTTAAACTACACTACAGAGCTATAGTAACAAAAACAGCATGGTATTGGCACCAAAACAGACATGTAGACCAATGGAATAGAAGACACAGAGACAAACTTACACAAGTACAGTTATCTCATACTAGACAAAGGTGCCATTAACATACATATGTCACAAAATGAAATCAAACCCCTATCTCTCACTCTGCACAAAAATCAACTCAAAATGGATCAAGGACCTAGGCATTAGACCAGAGACCCTGCACCTACTAGAGGAAAATGCAGGCCCAAATCTCCATAATGTCAGGTTAGGAACTGACTTCCTCCTCAACAGGACTCCTAAAGTGCAAGAAGTAAAATCAAGAATCACTAAACAGGATAGTATGAAACTAAGGAGCTTCACAGTCAAGGAAACGTCTGAGCATGAAGAGAGCCTACAAAATGGGAGCGCGTCTTTGGCACCTGCACCTCAGATACAGCATTATCTCTAGGAGACATGAAGAACTCAAAAAACTCAACACCAGGGCTGCGGTTATAGCTCAGTGGTTGAGCGCTTGCCTTGCATGCATGAGGCACTGGGTTTGATGCACAGCACCATAAAAATAAATAAAGATAAAACAAAGATATTGTGTCCGTCTACAACTAAAAAAATAAAAATTAAAAAACCCCAAAAAACCCAATCTATAAATGGACTAAGGAATTGAACAAACACATCACAGAAGAAATATGAATGGTGAACAGATATATGAAAACGTATTCAACATCTCCAACAATCAGAAAAATGCAGATTAAAACCACACTGAGATTCCATCTCACTCCAGTCAGAATGGCAACAATCACGAATACAAGTAACAATAAATGCTGGTGAGGATGTGTGAAAAAGGTTCACTCATACACTGCTGGGGGGACTGCAAATTGGTGCAACCACTCTGGAAAGCAGTATGGAGATTCTTCACAAAGCTTGGAATGGAACCACCATTTGACCCAGTTATCCCACTCCTCGATTTATACATAAACAACTTGAAATCAGCACACTGCAGTGACGCAGCCACATCGATGTTCACAGCAGCTCAGTTCACAGTAGTTAAACTGTGGAACCGACCCAGGTGCCCTTCAACAGACGAATGGGTGAAGAACATGTGGTGTACCTACGTGATGGAATGTTACTCAGTGATAATGACTATGACTTTTGCTGGTAAATAGGTGGATCTGGAGACAATTATGTTAAGGAATAAGCCAATCCCCCCAAACCAAAGGCGGAATGTTCTCTCGGATAGGTGGCTGCTAACACACAACCGCGGTGGGAGGGGAAGATGGAAGTTCAGTGAATTAGACCAAGGGGAATGCAGGAAGGGAGGTGTTGTGTTACTGAAAGCTCGTCCTTGTCCCTGATGGCAACCCAATAACGAGGACTCAGTGTTGAGAAAAGTGAAAAAGAAATCTTTATTGCTTTGCTAGCAAAGGAGAAGCACAGGGGACTTCCATAGGTGTGATTCTGCCCCTCAGCAGGAGCAGGGGCTGTTAAAGAGGTGACTCAGGCTACCTCTCTGTTGGAGTGTGACTCACTCCTTAACTTGGGAAATAGTCTTTTCTGAGATCTTTTGGTGCCATCCCCAAGCCTGGTTACTTCAATCTCCTGCGGGTGTGTGCTCAGGGACAGATACTCTGCCTAGGGTGGGGAAGGTCACCCTGTTTCCTCTGAGATTAGGGAGGAGCAGGGAGAGAGGAAGAAGAAGAAATGACCATTTTAAAAATCAGTTGCAGTTGGGCTGGGGATGTGGCTCAGGTGGTAGTGCGCTTGTCTGGCATGCGTGCGGCCCGTGTTTGATCCTCAGCACCACATACAAACAAAGACGTTGTGTCCGTCGAAAACTAAAAAATAAATATTAAAATTCTCTCTCTCTCACAAAAAATAAAAATAAAAAAAGTTGCAGTGGCCAAACAGCAAGGGCTAATTCAAAGCCTAAAATAGACCCCTGTTACAGAGGGGGACAGGAATAGGAAGACAGTGGAATGAATGTGACATAAGTTTTCTATGTACATATGTGAATGTACCATAGTGACTCTTCACAGCAAGACTGGGATCCTAATAAAACATATTCCATGTTTGTAAAAATGTCAAAATATACTCTATTGTCAGGCTGGGTCAGGCTGGGGCTGGGGCTCAGTGGTAGAGCGCTCACCTAGCGCGTGTGAGGCCCTGGGTTTGATCTTCAGCACCACATAAAAATAAATAAAGAAAACAAAGGTACTGTCTCCAATTACAACTAAAAAAAATAAATATTTAAAAAAATATACTCTATTGTCATGTATTGTTAAAAAGAACAAATTTTAAAAGTGAATGCTATCTCCAAAATAACACTGGAAAAGGAAAAACACAAAACAAAATGGCTTATGTGTGTCAAGTTCTTCATGAGGGTAATGAAGGACATGAGAGGGAAGCTGGCCACTTCCTGTGTCTCCTGTCTTTAGGTGGTGGGTCAAGGCAGAATGTTAAGCAAAAGAATGTGCTTCCAACTGGGCACGGTGGCGCAGGCCTGTGATCCTAGCAGTTTAGGAGGCTGAGGAAAGGGGATTGAAGTTTGAGGCTAGACTCAGCAACTTATGATGCCCTATTTAAAAACGAAAAGAAGAGGGCTGGGAATGCAGCTCCGTGGTGAGTCATTGCCTGGCAGGTACCAGGCAAACAGGCCTCAGGACTTCAGAGCTCGGGAGTAAATAAATACACAATAAACAGAAATACGCACACATCCTAGATCAGCCAACAGTTCTCATTAACGCGGCATGTGATCATCACCCAGAGGCAACCCACCGTCCCCAGGGACTCCAGTGATGTCTGGCCCACTCGCCTGCTGGCCCTGAGCAGGGACTCTGGTGGCATGGCCACCTTTTCTTAGCACCCTGGGTTTGGCTGCAGTTCACAACTCTGAAGGCTCTGAGGGCAGGGGCCTGTCTGCTCTGCCGGTGGCTAGAAGACCCCCACTCCATGACTGACCTCCCCAGCAGGGCCGGACCTCAGCCAGGAGCTCCCCAGGGGCTGCCTGGTGGGCAAGAGTCCTCCAGGGTCCTGCAAACTCCCTGAGGTCGTGAAGGCTGCTGGTTTTCTTTCAATTCCATTCTGCCACTGCCTCCCCCAGCGGCCAGCTCAGCCACAGCAGGAGGGCCTATCTGGGCCCACCTCATGGGGGCGGGCAGATCATGGCCACCCCAAAGAGTCTGAAAAACCACACTCTTGCCCAGCCCGGTCCGGCAAGTGGAGCCCCGGAATCAGGCTGGGCAGGGAAGCATTTGGGCCCCAGTCAGGTCCACTCCGTGCGGCCAAGCGTTTGTAAGACACCGAAGCCTTTGCCACGGGTTTTAAGGCACTGGCACAGCTACGCAGGGAGCGCTTAAAAGCGCGAGCGTTTGTTAAAGGGCACCGGTTTGGAAACAGGCGGCCGATGGGCCATGGTGGGACCCTGACCCCAGCTGCTGTGTGGTCAGGCACCTCCGGGATCGGACAGGCACTTCCGGAGAGCGGCGCGCTGGGTCCCTGCGCCGGCCGGTTCCCGGTTGCCGCGCTCCGGGCCCAATCCCGTCGCCCCACCTGCAGAACTGGGCAGCCGCGTCCCCGCGCCTGTCACTCAGACGTGGCGCTGGGGGCGGGGCCGGGGCGGGCCGGGGCGGGCACACTGGCGCGGGTGGCGCGGGGCGGGGACCCAGCTACAGCGACCGGGCACGCAGAGCCAGGCGGAGCGGAGCGCGGGTCCTGCGTCTCGGCCGCCGCCATGGCCAACGTGGACCTGGAGAAGTTGCGGATGTCGGGGGCCGGCAAGGCCATAGGTGTGCTGACCAGCGGCGGCGACGCGCAAGGTGGGCGGCGGAGCAAGGGCCTGTGGCCGGGGGAAGCGGGGTGCCCACCCTCTCCGGGCTCCCCCGGAGCGCCCCCCCCCGCCCTGGGGTCTGGGGACACTGGGCCAGCTTGGCCTCCGCTCCGGGCGCCCGCCTCTGGGTCCCGGTCCCTGGACTCCGCCCCGACGCGCCCTGGGTCGCCCGCGTACGTGCCGCGGGCCACGGGCCTCCTGGCGCCCCGCCCTCGCCCGCCCCGGTCCACTCTGGCCCCGGGGGTGTGTCCGCGCAGCCGGCCGGGCCGGGACCCATGCGTGGATCGCAGAGCAGTGGCCTTGGCCCCCGGTAGCCACCGGCTCTCAGCCGCCTCTTCTGGGCAACACGTGTCAGGACCTCTGTCTCCCAGAAGCCACGTGGAGCGGTGGTCTTTGAGTGGGCAATGGGACCCAGCCCAGCCTGGAGCCCGAAAGGAGCAGGGACCAGTGTTCCCCAGCCGCTCCCAGCTGCCTTCTCGGGCTGCCACCCTGACAGCACCTCCACCTCCTGGTTCCTCCCGGCTCCTCCCCGTGCCCTTTGACTTGGGCCCTGGCTGGGGAAGAGGGCGGCTGTCGGGAGGGGAGCTTTGGGGGCTTTGGGATGCTTCTTATCCAAGTCCTCTTCTCACCTGCTGGTTTAAGACAGGCCCCAGATGGTGCCCAGGGTCAGTAGTGTCCGCCTGGCCTGGGAGGGCTCTGTAAGTGCACCCTACTCTTGGCCTGGGGTAGTGCTCCCTCACCCACCCTAGTCCTCCGGAGAGAGGAGAGGCCTTAAGGAGGTGGTGGGCTGGGAGGGGCTGCAGTGGGCCTGGTCTGTTTCCTTCTGGAGAGTTCAGAAGGGGCAGACACACGCCCTCCCTGACGCACAGTCCTGATGGCTGATCCCCCACCAGGAGCTGGGGAAGAGGGGAGAAAACAGATTCCATCAGGACATAGTCCAGGAAGGTGGAAGTCTTGCTGATGAGACAGACTGGGGGTTCAGGTGGAGCTTAGGGCCTGGCCCAGGCTGCCGGTCAGTGTGCCCTTCTGCCTGTGACTTGAGGGTGTTTGCTCCTGGCCAGTGGTGGCTTCCTGGGTGAGGAGACCGTGAGCTTGGAGGGGCCCTCGAGAAGCATCATCCCGTGAAGGTCAGCAGTGGGAAAGGCCCAGAGGGTGGTGGACAGACGCACTGTGGGACGGCTGGACTTACCTACCTGTCAGAGAGGCACTTTCTCCCTGAGCATGGTGAAGCCCCCAGTCCTCCCTGGAGCCTCAGGGTCCCTCAAGCCCAGGAGGTCTCCATGGAGCTTGTCTGCAGGAAGGAGGCAGCAGAAGCTGAGTCAGGAAGGCCAGCTGGTGGGCGTGCAGGGCCCCTGGGGGTGCCCATCCCTGCACCTTTCCTCAGGAGGGACCTGATGGGCTGGGCCATCCTCAGGGCTGAGAGTGCAGACATGGGGTTTGTGATGCTGGTGAAGGACCCTGAGACCAAGGTCCCCCGGCCCATCAGGGGTGGGCAAAGCTGTCTGCACACGTCCGCTGCCCTGCACGTGCTGCTCGGTGCCTCACCTGGAGTGGGCAGTGCTCTTGGACGTAGGGCAGCGCGCCTGTCAGAGCCCCTGCAAGCTGACCCTGCCAGTTTCCCGGCAAGTGTCTTCCCAAGCCCCGGAAGCTTTGCTCCTCTTAGGTGGGCTCTGGTCTCTGACTTACAGCCTGGGGACCTGTCTTTCTGGTTGGGCTGGCAGTGAGGGGGACTCTACTACAGGCTCCCCCGGTTCAGAGCTTGGGGCTAATGCAGGGTAGTGGACAGTGATTACTGGATGAGGGGCAGCAGCTGGCATCTGGGCAGAGCAGCGCCTTTTGCTTTGTAAATCCTGAAAAGCATCTGTCCTGAGGCCCCCCACCCCCCGCTCAGCACTGCTCCTGTGACCTGCCCAGGCTTCACGTTCCCAGTGTGCCCTTGTGTCAGCGCTGGGCTCTCGGCTGCTGGAGAATGGGACCCAGAGCCATCTGGGTGTGCAGGATGTGCCGGCAGTGAGTGCCTTGCCGGGGCAGGGCCTGAGTCCTGGCCGCTCTGAGCTGAGTAGCTCTGTGACCTGACCCAGCACTCCCTCCAGCCGAGGGTTTTCCTTCTTTTAAAGGGGAAGGGGCCTGCCAGGCTTCTTCCAGCCAGCCAGGAAGTCCTGTCCTCGCAGCTGTGGGTGTCTCCCTTCCTGTGGGCCGGGAGTCGGCAGCCTCGGGGACGGCGGTTGCCCAGGGTGTCTGTCTGTGCGGAGTAAGGGAAGACTTGGAGCAGGCACAGTCGGCCCGCCTGCCCGGCCCGCCGCCGCTTTGCCCTGGCACCTCTCCTTCCCAGGCCCTTCTAGCCCATGCCCAGTGCTGGGGCGCTGCCTTCCCTGTTGGTCAGTGCGGTCGCTGACTTCCTGTTGGTACCCTGCGGATTGAGTGTCCTGCCCTGTCTTCACGTGCTGTGCCTGGGGTTTGGGCAACCTGCTCTGGCTGGCCTGCTGACCAACCGGGGCTCCGCGGCCTCATCCCAGGATCCCTACCTTGTACGGGACCTTGTTTTCCCTGGACATAGCCGTGGTGAAGCCGCTGTAGGAGCAAACGCAAGCTCAGTCCTTGGAGCAGAGAGGGGGCTGCTTGTCGGCTGAGGCGGCTCCTGCCTGCCCTTCTGACGGGGGTGGGGGGCGGTCTGCTGCCCAAAAGCAGGTTAAAGGGAGTTAAATACACGTGTTTTTTTATCCCCCTCCATGGGTTGAACCCAGGGTGCTTAACCATAGACCCACATCCCCAGCTCTTTTTATTTTGAGATAGGGTCCCACTAAGTTGCTTAGGGCCTTGCTAAATAGCTGAGGTTGGCCTTGAAGTTGCCATCCTCCTGCCTCAGCCTCCTGAGCCACTGGGATTGTGGTCGTGTGCCACCACTCCTGGCTAAGTAGGCCTTTTGAAGAGCCAGCTTCTGTGAGGGTTAGGGATCCCTCGCCCTCAGGTGGCTGGCTCCATGGCAACAGTCCTGGCCCAGCCTGAGATGAGCCGCACACCACGTGGCTGCCTGCTCCTCTCCCGAGTGTGGAACACAGTGGTTTTGGCTGCTGTTACCTCTGGGTGTCATGAGGGTTTATTTCACAGTGTCTTGAAGTCACTGCAAGCCAGGGGTATGGTCACACTTTACCCTAGCCCAGGCACTTTGCTGTCCCCAGAGCTCCCAAGAAGCCCACTAGGCTGACCAGTGAGCTGCTGACACCAGGCTGGCCTGGCCAGTAGTACACGGGTCCCCCTGGAGCTGGGGTTACCTGAGAGAGATTTGCACTGGGCAGTGGGTCCTGGCCTCTGCCTCCCTCCAGCCCCCTCGTCCTGTCTGAGCAGCTGGCTCTCTCCTTCTGCTAGAGGGTCTGGACCTCTCTCTGGGGCTGCTGTGGGCTCTGGCTGACCTCCTCTCCCTTGTGTCCCCTGCTCAGTGAGGGCAAGGCCCAGCCTTGGCCCTGACTCCAGGCATTGATCTCCTCAGACAGTGCTCATGTCTGCTGGGGTGCATGGCTTTCTGGGTTTTGGGGTGCTTGCTGCACCCCCTCTTTAACCTTGGTGACCCCACTTCTGTCATCGTGGGCTGTGAGACAGTTGATGTGTCTGGCAAGTGTGTAAGCTGTGAGTGCCCGCTGGCCCCTGGGCTCTGCCCACCCTGATGTCTGGGTGCCCCTCCACCAGCAGCCCTGGCACCGGTGTCTGCTGGGTCTGGAGAGGGCTGCTTGCTGTGCCCTGGGTATGTGTGTGGGGTGTCCAGGTGAGTCTGCTGGCCAGGGGCTTGCTCTCCCCCAGGAATGGGTTTCTCATCTCACCCAGGATGGTGGCCAGTGTGCCGCGGGGGGCCATGGACAGGGAGCAGGCTGTGTGAGGCTCTGCCCAGGGGGCTTCCTCGAGTCCTGGGGGGCATCCTCTCGGAACTACTCAGTCCTCCAAGCCCTCAAGCCAAGCTGAGACCTCTGGGGCCCCGGGGTAGGGCCATGGGTCCTCCTGGGGTCACGGTGCAGACCCACTCCACTCGAGGGACCTCCTGGAGCTTTAGAAGGGCACCCAGCAGAGAAGAACCTCAGGCCTCTAGAGGCTGGGGGCATGGTTCCCCCGGGCACAGCTTTCCTGAGGCCTGGGACGGGCGTCTGGGTATGCATGTGGCCCGGCTGGTAAGGAGGGGGGCAGAGGCTCCTTGGGGGAGAGCAGCGCCATCCAGCTGAGCGACTGCAGACTCGCCGCCCTCTGGGGCCGGGTGGTCTCGCCTGCCCTGCTTGCTGTGGGTCTGGGCAGGCTTGAGGCCTCCTGTGTGCTGCGTGCTCCAGCTGGCCCAGGCCACTTCCCCAGAGGGACTCCTGCCGAGCAGAGGGAACGTGGAGGCAGTCCTGGGAGCCCCTAGGGGACAGGAAGGAGGGGTGCATCCATGGGTGCTTCTGAGGGCATGCCGCCCATGTCCTGGCCTGAGGCTGTACAGCCGGGGACCCTGTCCTTTCATCCTTGGGTCCTCGTGGTCAGCGCCTGGATCTGTGGGCCTGCAGGGTGGGGGCTCTGCTAACGGAGCCAATCTTGTCGCCAAGGTTAGGACTGCAGAGGTTGGGGACACAGCAAGTGGACGGAGGCCAGCGACCCTTGAGCAGCTGTCCCCGGCCTACTGCTCCGTGGGGGTTTTCCTTGTGTCACTCCCGGGCTCTGAAGCCCGCCCCAGGCTGGTCTCATTTCGTGGGCCAGGGTCTCCAGTGTCCTGGAGGCTGGACTGATGAGCTTCGCCCCGACTCCCTCACAGGTATGAATGCTGCCGTCAGGGCCGTGACTCGCATGGGCATCTACGTGGGCGCCAAAGTCTTCCTCATCCACGAGGTAGGGCGTGTGCACGGGTGCAGGGCGGCCAGGTGCGCCCGGGGAAGCAGGGCGGCCAGGTGTCCCCGGGGAAGCAGGGTGGCCAAGTGTCCCTGGGGAAGCAGGGCGGCCAGGGGTGCCCGGGGAAGCAGGGCGGCCAAGTGTCCCTGGGGAAGCAGGTGGCCAGGTGTGCCCGGGGAAGCAGGGCCTCTGCGGTGCGGACTGCGGCCTACTGTATGTGGTCACCTTGGAATCCCTCAGGTGGCCTGGGCTGTGGTGGTGGGGGCTGCCCCTGGTACAGGGTGAGGGCAGTGTGAGGCAGGAAGTAGGGGCCTGGTCAAGGCATCTGCAGGAAGGAGACCTGCCCGAGGTTGGTGGCCTCCTGGTACCCAGGAACCAGCCCACTCCAGGCTCAGCGGCTGCCAGGGGGCGGCCAGGGGTCCTCCCGGGGAGTTGGAGGGGCAGGGGAGCTGGCATTGTTGGTCTTTGTTCAGCCTGGAGGCCTGGCCCTGCCCAGGGGAGTGCTTTCCTGCTGTGAGGCTGCCTCAGTCCCCTTCTGAGGCCCTGTGACCCTGCCCAGTGACCAGCACAGACAGGCCCTGGAGGGTGAAACCAAGCAACGTCCTTGTTTGTTCTGTCACTAACTGTGGGATGTTCCTGTGTCTCACCTCCCAGCCCTGTCCTGGGTTTGGGGCTGATCCTGCGGCGGGTGCTCTGGTGCATGGATGGACACACACACACACACACACACACACACACACGGCCCCTGCACGCACGCATGCCCTGTCCCTCCCTCCCTCTCTCCTGCTCGTTCTTACAGATATCTGGAATTCCCTCTCTGTCCTGTGGTTTGATGTCACCTGTGGTTATTTTGTTTTCACTGTTTACACACAATGTAGCCAAGACCAGCCTGCCCTCTCCCAGGGCCTCCGCCCCGCCCCTCTCTCTGCCCTCTATTTTTTTTTTTTTTTTTGTACTGGGGATTGAACCCAGGGGTGCTTCACCTTGGAGCCACATCCTCATCTCTTTTTTGTATTTATGTAGAGACAGGGTCTCATTGAGTTGCTGAGGCTGGCTTTGAGCTCCCGATCCTCCTGTCTCAGCCTCCCAAGCCACTGGGATCACAGGCGTGTGCCACTGTGCCCTTTGTCCTGGCCCCAGCTATGGCAGGCCCACCCTCTGCTCCACAGGGTGTCTGATGAATGAACACAGTGAGTGGGAGGAGGAACAGTGAGGGGCAGGCCATGCCCCTCCCTGCCACCAGGCTAACATGGGGCCTGGAGCCTGCGTGTCCTGCAGTGGCTTCAGAAGCAGATCTGAGTCCTAGGAATCCAAGAAGCTGGGCAGGTGTGGCCCATACCCTGAGGACAGGGGGCTCCAGGCAGGGAGGCTGGGTTCAAGTCTGTGTGCAAGTCCCTTCACCTCCTGGACCCTCAGTTTCTTCTATTAAGTGAGAGGTCTGACTCCTTCCTCTCCGGGGTTTAGAGACAGGAGCTAATTCAGAGGCTGCCTGGGGCCGGACCTGCAGGGTAGGGGAGGGCTGGGGAGTGGGGAGTGAGTGGGGCCTGAGAAGGGGCGCCCTCTCTGTGCAGAGACATCTGGGGGCAGGAGTAGAAGGCCCTACTGGCTGCCTTGGGGTCTGCAGGGCCTGCCTGCTTGTTCCTCCCCACGGGGCGGGGGCCAGGCTGTGGCCCTGCACTGGCTCTGCCTGACCTGGCTCAGCAGGTCTGTGCCTGCAGCAGCGTCCTGGGCAGGGCCTGGCCTTGCTTTTCACACACATGGCTGGGCCTGGCCTGGCCTGAGCCAGGAAGGTTGCTGTGGGCCCGCGGAGAACCATGTGTTTCAGGCAATGGCAGGGTGGGCAAGTGCCCGCTGGCCTGGCCCACGTGGACTTCAGGGCTGGCGCCAGCTCTTTGCTCTTGCCGTGGTGACCCTCTGTGTCCTGAGCTGAACCATCACTGTGCCCTGGTGTGAACTGCTCCCCAGGGAGCACTACCTCCCACCCCTTGGCCTCGTCACCCAGCTGGAAAAGCCAGGAGGAGCAGAAGCCACCGCTGAGCTGGGCATCCGAGGCGGGGCTGCGGTGGGCTGCGTCACCCTGGGTCTGGGGTCAGTGGTGGCCCTGCAGGGCCTGGGGGCCACGGGGAGGCCTGCCCTCTCACCCTGTACATTGTGAAGCATACACGCTGCGTCCAGCCCGTACGCGGGACTCCTGCAGACAGAGAAGGGTGGCCGTGGGCAGACTGTGCTTGGCACTCGTCTGTCCAGATGGCCAGTGGCAGACGTCGTCAGGGAAATGCAAGTTGGATCTCCTCTGAGGGCTGGTCCGTGGCCAGCGGGTGCAGGACTGGTGCCCCTAGTGCTATGGGGAGCTGGAGCCCGAGTCGTCCTCACTGGGGGCGAGGGACACTCACTTGGGGCACCACGGAACATGCCCCACGTCTGCCCACACGTCCCCAGACTCACGAGGACCTTCTCAGACACCTGGAGCACATCTCTGGGACTCCTCAGCAGCGTGGTCTCCACCGCCCCTACTGCAGACTTCCCGCTGTTCCTCGGCAGGACGGGGATCTTCACACAGGGGCGGCCCACTAGGAGGAGAGGACGGGGCGGGGCAGCAGGCAGAGGCCTCTGCAGGGCCTTTCTACCACGTCCACTCCTGGCAGATCTAATCTGTGCCCCCGGGAGGCGGGGTGGTGGGTTCCCCGGGGACCTCTGGGTGCTGGTCTCGTCTGTGCCCGCTCTGGGTGCAGTGACGAGTGCTTGGCGTTGGGAATGCGCACCAGGTGGGCTCCTGCTCCATGAGCCTTTGCCAAGTGAATGTTCTCTGCACTGAACCGACTCCCTGGCTGTGTAGACGGGGTTCGGAGCCACATGCACATAGTCCCACCTTCGTTACCCGAGGCCCTTGGGGTGCTGGGCCTTGAGGTGGGGACCCTTAGGCCTGCTTCCTGCTGGTGAGGTTTTGGCCATGACCAGCTCCCGTCTCCCAGATGAGGGTGCTGTTGGCTGCTGTGCCACCTTGTCTCATGCCCGTCCCACTCTGGTTTTAGGGCTACGAGGGCCTCGTGGAAGGAGGTGAGAACATCAAGCCCGCCAACTGGCTCAGCGTCTCCAACATCATCCAGCTGGTGAGGCTTGTGGCCGGGCGGCCCTTCCTGCCCGTGAGCACGTTGAGCACGTGGGTGCACTCACCCCATCCTGCAGGTGCCCACTCCAGGCTGCCCAGGCCTCCTGGTTGTGTGGTGCTGCCAGGAGTCGGGCTGGAGTCCAGGCCCACGACGGGGGTCTGGACAGGAGGCTGTGGTGCAGACTGGTGGGTGCTGCTGCAGGGCATGGACGCAGCCCAGAAGGCCTCAGGAGTAGCGCAGAGGGGGATGGGTGTGGGGTCCCCACGGCCACGTGGGCAGGGGCACCCTGGCCCCGGAGTGCCGTGCACCGCAGCTGTGTGCCGGGGCTGGGGCCCTGAGGTGGGGGGCAGGCCGGAGCTGCCAGCGGGGGCTGGCGAAGTCTGTTCCTCGTGGGCCTGGCCGGCTCCCTGCAGCAATGCACTGTGTGTGTGTGCGAGTGTGTGCAAGCATGTGCGGTGCTTCCAGTTTCCAGACCCATCATGCTCTGTCCCCTCCTGCTTGAGAAAGGCCTGGGATGTGGGGACCCTGTCCAGGCTTGGAGATGTCCCTGGACTTGCTGCCCAGTACTCTGGTCCCTCTGGTGCCCCCGGGGACCTCCACCACCTGCCAGCCCACCTGAGGCGCTGCTCTCCTCTGCAGGGCGGCACGGTCATCGGCAGCGCCCGCTGCAAGGCCTTCACCACGCGGGAGGGACGCCTGGCAGCAGCCTACAACCTGGTCCAGCGGGGCATCACCAACCTGTGCGTCATCGGGGGGGACGGCAGCCTCACGGGCGCCAACATCTTCCGCAGCGAGTGGGGCAGCCTGCTGGCGGAGCTGGTGGGGGAAGGTGGGTCTGCGCAGGAGCCGGTGGCCTGGCTGCCACCAAGGCAGGACGACCCTAGGTGGTTCCAGATGTAGGGCCGCGTCAGCTGGTGGTGAGGGGTCAGAGTGACCTGAGGTGACCTGGCATCCAGGAGCCGGGCAGTGCTGGCTGGCGCTCCAGCACGGCCTGGGCTTCGTGGCAGTGTGTGATCGGCTCCCGAGAGGTTCTGGCCATGGTGACAGGCTGCCACAGTTGGCAGAAATGCGGTTAGAATTAGGGTGACATGAGACACAGTGTCCCAGGTTGCTGCCTAGAAAGTAGCCTCTTGGAGCCTCACCTGGGCCACTTGGGGGCCCTGGAGCTTGGGCATGGCCGCTCCTTACCACAGGGTGTTGGGTGGAGTGTGGTGGGCACCACCCGGTGCAGACAGCCCCGTCACCCCTCATGGTGGCCAGGGGAACCGGCTGTAGCCGTATGGACTCAGCCAGGTCTTCCCGCTCCTCCTGGCCCAGGTAAGATCTCGGAGACCACGGCCCAGACCTATTCGCACCTGAACATCGCCGGGCTGGTCGGCTCCATCGACAATGACTTCTGCGGCACGGACATGACCATCGGCACTGACTCAGCCCTGCACCGCATCATGGAGGTCATCGACGCCATCACCACCACCGCTCAGAGGTGAGCGAGCCCCACCAGCTAGACGGCTCCCAGCCTCCCTGCCCCTCCTGGTAAGGCTGGCCTCCTGGAGGCAGCAGGAGTCGGCAGGGGTCAGCTGTGGAGCTGGGGGTCGGGTTCCTACCCTGCCAGGTGGATCTGGGGCCTCAGCAATGTGGCCCAGCCCCGGTGGCTGCTGCCCTTGGGGGTAGTGGCACCTGCAGGGGCTCCTTGGGGTCATGTCGGGGACAGCCAGACCCTGGCTTGGCAAGTGGCCTTTGACCTTAGTGCACATCAGACAACTGGACAGAGGCTGTTGGGGAGCCCGGGGTGTCTCTAGCCCTGGGGATGGGGGCAGGGCAGTCTCCTTTGCCTGTGCCCCTGTACGTGGGCCAGTCAGCCTGGCACAGCTCTGCGGCCCTGACACACTGCCCCTTCCGTCTCCACAGCCACCAGAGGACCTTCGTGCTGGAGGTGATGGGGCGGCACTGCGGGTGAGGAGGGCTGTCCTGGCCAGCTGGGGGGGGGACAGCGGGGGTGGGCACGGCACCTTCCCTGGCGTCTGGCATGCCATAGTGCTCATTGAAGGCTGTGAGCTACGAGCGCTGGGGCAGGGGGGACAGGAGAAGACGGCTGGACCTACTCCTGCAGGTACCTGGCTCTGGTGTCGGCGCTGGCCTCGGGGGCAGACTGGCTGTTCATCCCCGAGTCGCCCCCTGAGGAAGGCTGGGAGAACTTCATGTGCGAGAGGCTGGGTGAGGTGAGCGGCTGAGGGCCCCGCTGCCGCCCTCGATGGCTCTGGGTGGCATGTCCTCAGGGGACCCTGGGGAGTGTCCTCTGATTCTGTGGCTGTCCATCATGTCCTACTGGTTCAACAGCAGCTGTCGGCCCCTCTGGGGTGTGGACACCTGCGTGCACCTGTGGTCCTGCCCCTGGTGGGCCAGGGCTGCAGAGAGGGGCACCCTGGCCGCTGTCCTGGGCTCGGCTCTGTGTGGTCAGCAGGGAACGTGGTGACCGGGCTTCCTGGGACAGTGACCATGGGTGTGAGCCACTGAAGCTGAGGATGCGGGTGCAGGGTGCAGCGCAGTCACCCAGGTGGCAGGCTCAGGGTGGCGAGGGGCTGGGGCTGGCCACTCATCCCAGGCCTGTTCTCCCTGCTGAGGGCAGCCGGGCGCCTGTCGGTGGGTTCTGAGCCAGGGGCATGAATGGCCAGGAGTGCCCATGGCCAGAGTGGGAGCAGGAGAGGACAGGGAGGCGAGGCCTCCTGGGAGGGCTGGAGCAGGGTGCCAGGCCTGCAGCCCTGAGCTCCTGCTGGAGGGGGTTCTGGATAGAATGGGCGACTCTGTCCTGCAGACCCTCAAGGCCCCCCACTGGGACGGCTGACTCTGTAGTCAGGCTGGGGCGCATGGTGGGTGGAAGGCCACGGAGCCCCTCCTGCAGCTTCTGCCCAGGCCTGGGGGAGCAGGGTGGGCCCAGGGGCATGGAGGTTCTGGCTTTGGCTCTGGTTTCCAGGGTCCAGAGGGTCCGTGTTCTGCGGGGGGCCGGGGGCAGGCTCACAGCTCAGGAGCAGCTGGCTGGCCTGGGGCTGGCACAGGTCCAGTCCCCATGTGAGTGTGGCGGCTTCACCCCCATTCACTGTGGCTCCTCCTCCCTCCGACTGGGCAGCCCTGAAGGTCATGGTCTGGCTTCTCGAACCTTCCCCAGTGGAGGCAGAGCCCGTGGGTGAGGCCGTGCTCCCCCTGGGTGGAGCCCTTCCAGGCTGGCTGCAGTGAGGACAGAGCTGGCCCTTGTGGCCACAGCTCCTCTGCTCACTTGGCTCAGTGGCCTGGATCTGGGCTCTGCAGCCTCCTGCCTGGTAGGAGGCACCTGGGCCTCTCGTGGGCACCTGCTCCCTCCGAGTGCAGGTGTTTCTCGCCTTGCCCACCACCCGAGCCTTAAGGGAGAGAGAGGGAGGCCCCGGCTCTTGGATCTGCCCGCATCCCTGTCCCCTCTGAGCCCCCTGTACCAGCACTGCCTCCTCCGGGCAGCCCTCCCACCCGCGACCCCAGCTGACTGCACCCAGGCCGCACATGAGCTGCTCCGACCTGTCTCCATGTCTGAGGCTCTGGGGGCCCCTGTGGACCTGGGGGTTCACAGGTCAGAGCAAATCACAGGACATCACTGAGGAGAGAAGGAGTGCAGAGCACTTTGAACTTGTCAGGGAGCTGTGTGACCATGAGCACTGTCACTGTCCCATGGAGCAAGGCTTGGTGTGGGGTATTAGGGGCATCAGGGGCCCCATGTGCCGTCTTTGGCCTGACCAGTGGCTTCAGGGTGCAGTATCCAGGGAGCCCTGTCTGGTGGTCAGCTGTATGAGGTCACCCATCTAAGGATGAGAACAGAGGCTTAGAGGGGACCTGAGTGTCCCAGGCTAGCCACCGGGGATCTGGCTCAGGGACTGGGGAGGGCACTGTTCCTATGGGTTCCTCTGCCCTCCTTGCAGATGGCCCTGCCCAGGCCCTGGGACTAGATGGCCTCACCTGTAGCATGTGCTGTGGCCCTGGCCCCAGGTCTTTCCCCGCCCCGCCTCCTGCCCCTTGTTCGGGTCCCCCTCCCCCTCCCCGCCTCCTGCCCCGTGTTCCCTCCCCCCAGGAGGGCGCTGGGGTTCGTGGGCCCTGACTCAGCTTTCCCTCTGCACCCCAGGCCCCCTTTCAGGTCCTGCAGAGCTGGGGGAGGGTCTGCCCTGGCTCACAGGGGTTGAGGGTACCGTGTCCTGGTCCAGGACCTAGACCCCAGGGCGGCTCCAGGGGCCAGGGCCATGTTCGGTGGCTTTGCCAGTGGGTGAAGCCTGGGGTGTCTCTGACTCAGACTCGGAGCCGGGGGTCCCGGCTGAACATCATCATCATTGCGGAGGGCGCCATCGACCGCAACGGGAAGCCCATCTCGTCCAGCTATGTGAAGGACGTGAGTGTGCCGACGCCCTGGGGTGGGCCCGGCCATGGGGAGGGGAGGGTGGGGACGGGTCACGGGGTCAGAGTGCTCCTGCGTCTGCACTCCTCCAGGGCTCTCAATGGGTCCCCACCCTCGCTCTGTGGGGACAGCTGTCTGGGCCTGACCCTGGGCACTGTCCGTCTCTGTGTTGGAAGCCCCCGTTCTCTGGGTTCCAGTTGTCATCCAGGATGAGTTCCCTTCAGGGCTGGGCCCCCAGCACCCCAGGGACAGCCCAGCTCCACCTCAGTGACAGAGTGCCCCTTGCTCCATGCTGGATCTGCAGCTGGACACCCCTGCCCCATGAGGAGGAGCCTTCCTATGACCCCTGCCCTGGGCTCCCCTTGTTGGAGCATGGTCCTGGCCCTTGTGCCCCCTCCTTGGGCTCCTACTGGGTGACCGTGTCCCCTTGCACTGTACCAGGGGCCCACCTGCTGTGGATTCCTCTGTCCCCATGCCCAGGGCCACAAGTCCAGGGCTGCGGTGTGCAAGCACATCCCATGAAAGTGCACTCGAACTTCTGTACACACCCACACGCACACCTGGGAAATCTCACCTGTGCACACTCACACGACCCCCAGCTCAGACGCAAGCCTCCTGGCTGCCCTGCAGGCTCTGAGGCTGGGCAGGGGTGAGCTCCGGGCCAGGCCAGTGGAGCGGGGGGCAACGGGTGGCACAGGAGCCCATGGCCCCCCATCTCTCCCCACAACCAGCTGGTGGTCCAGAGGCTGGGCTTTGACACACGAGTGACCGTGCTGGGCCATGTGCAGCGAGGAGGGACGCCCTCAGCCTTCGACCGTGTCCTGGTAGGTGGGCGTCGCCCTGGCTGGGTGAGCGGTTGCACGGGTGTGGGGTGAGTGGTGTGCACGTGACGGTGACGTGCTGGGCGTGCGGTCAGCGTCTCTCTGCTGCCGGTCCTCCCTGGGTGAAGGCTCAGCTCCCTGTCTCTGCAGAACTTGGGCCTGGGGTCCACGAGGCCCCACCCTGCCTGTGTCTCCTTGTCAGTGCCCTCTGCACTGCACACGTTGGTAGTTGGGGCTGCAGACCCCCTTGGTGGCTGTGGGCAGGTTCCTGGGGGTGGGGGGAGTGGGGGTGAGCAGAGAGGGGCCTGACTGGTGGCCTCCCGGTGGTTTTGGACTCTCTGGGTTTGCTGTCAGTGGTGCTGATTACAGCTGAGTCTCAGCTCGTCCTCTGAGGAGTCAAGTGGAGCCAGGCCTGGGGCCAGGAAGGCCCATGGGTGGCAAAGAGGCTGCACATGAGGGCTGGTCACCCTGGCAGGGGACCAGGCAGACGAGACTTAGGCTGGTTTGAGACTGCATGATGCTGTGGCCTGGCCCAGTGCTGCTCTGAGCCTTCCCAGAAGAATGTCCGTGTGTGGGCTCCGCCTGGGCCTGCCAAAGACCTGGATGGGACTCACTGACCCTTGGAGGGGTCTCGCTGACCTGGCCAGGCCTCCGCTGCCCCCTACACAATGCATCAGGTGCACATCCAAGACCCCACAAGGGGCTTGGGACTGGGCCAAGCCAGCCACCACCCAGCTTGGTGGGGGGGGTGCAGCACCAAGAATAGGGAGACGCAGGGGTCCCTCCCTATCTGGAGGTCACAGACTAGCTGGCCAGTGTGTGGACACTGGTGGAAGACACTGGGTCAGACAAAGGACAGTGTATCACTCACATCTGTGGCCGCCCCCAGAGTCTCCATGCTTCTGGGCTGGTCTTGAGCCTGTGTCCCCACCGGGTGACATGAGGAGCACGCGGTGACACCTCCATGTAGTGGGAACCTGAATCTCAGCCGTGGCCTGCCAGCTGCTCCTGAGACAGCCACCATTGCTTTTCTGGGACTGTCCCCTAATGTCCTGGAAAAGACAGTCTAGAGTAATGAGCAGGTGGGCCTTGCTGTCAAGAAGCGCAGGAACCCAGGAGGCTAACTGGCCGCCTCCCGGTGCCCAGTAACTGCCCAGGGGGACCTGCCACCTGTGGTCATGGAGCAGGTGGTGCCTGCTTGGGCCCTGCATCGCCTGGCTGGCGCTCCTTGGCTGTGCCAGGACCTGCACTCGGGGCTGGCCCCAGCGGGCAGTTCTGGACATTGTAGTCCCCGTGCTCACCACCTGCACCCGCAGCAGGACGGTGGGCTCAAGGGGTTCTGTGGGGGAGGCACCTGGAGAGGCCTCCAGCCCTCCCCTGCTGCCCCGGGGCCAGGCCCTCCTGGCAGGACTGTGGGAGGCCTGTGAAGTGGTGGCCGACAGCTGTTGTGGATGCTGGCCACCATGTTCTAGAAGCTGGCCGAGTGGGGCTGAAGCTGAGGTGTGTGCGTCTGCAGAGGGCAGCCGTGCAGGCTGGGCAGAGCAGATGGGCAGGGGAGCTGCCGTGAAGGTGGGCTGCGCCAGCCTGAGCGCCCCTCTCTGCACAGAGCAGCAAGATGGGCGTGGAGGCCGTGATGGCGCTGCTGGAGGCCACGCCCGACACGCCAGCCTGCGTGGTCAGCCTCTCGGGGAACCAGCCCGTGCGGCTGCCCCTCATGGAGTGTGTGCAGGTGGTGAGTACCAGCCCCTCCCTGCATAACGCTGCCCTCAGGCCGGTGCCACCTGCCCTGCCCTGCACTGCCCTGCCCTCCTCCGACATTGCTGGTGTGACGGGTGGGGTGGCTCTGCCATGCTGTCCCCCAGTGCAGCACGGGCCTCATGAGGGAGGGCCACAATGGTGGGGGAGGGGCGTGGGCACAGCCCAGGTGAGACAGCCCAAGAGGGGCGTCAGCTGCAGGGGACCTGGCGGTGGTGAGGAGCCAAAGTCCCTCAGTGGCCTTGGGCTGACCTTAGAAGCCCAGTGGGACGTGTGTTTGGTTTAGAATGGGAGGGACAGGGACGAGGAGGAGCAGGGAGGGACGAGGAGGAGCAGGGAGGCAGTGGAACGGTGGGTACAGGTCCAACGGGGACACTGCTGTGGCTGGAGCAGGGATCCAGGAGGGGGTGGGAGGTGAGGCTGAGGGGCTGTGAGGTCAGGATTGAGACCGGCTCTGCCCTGGGACCTGCAGGGAAGGGAGGGCCGCAGGTGGGCAGGGACTGGCGTCCTGATGCTCTCTTCCCGGAGGACCTGCTGTGACTCCAGGGCCCTGCTTCAGCACACGCTGGCCGTGGTCATGGGTCTGGGGCTCTGTTCCCAGGGCTCTGGCCCAGGACCCTGGGTCTGAGGCAGTGCAAGGCCTGGGCTGCCCCTGCTGGGGAGGACAGGTGGCCGGGTCAGGCACCAGGGGAGCTCCCATGGCTGCGATTTTGGCCCCTGCTGAGGGACCTGCCGGACTAGGGCTGGGAGAGGATGGTGGGCGGATCTCCCCTGCGGGAGCTGTGGCCGTGAGGGCGCGCAGGGCCTCCGACGCCTGTGCTTTTGCTTCTTTAAGACAAAGGAAGTGCAGAAAGCCATGGATGACCGGAGGTTTGACGAGGCCATCCAGCTCCGAGGCAGGTGAGGGCGCTGCCCGCTCGCCCCACGGTTGGGGCCGGCGTGGGCTGTGCTCAGCTGCAGAGGTGGGCTCTGCGGGCGCTCACCTGGGGTCCCCTCAGCATTCTTCAGGGAGCCTAGCTGGGGGAGCTTGGGGGGCACTGGGTCTGCAGTGAAGAAGCTGGCTGGGGTGGACGTGGGTCTCGGTGGCCAGGACAGAACCTGTTGGACATGCGTGGCATGGCTGAAGGGCAGACCGGGGGTGGGTAGCACCCAATGCAGAGAGGTTCCAGCTGGCTTGGTACATCATGGCGGGTGGGCTGATGGGTCAGCGAAGGCCAGCAGCTGTGTGGACTCCGGTCCTTGGTGGTGTGAATGCCCCTCTCCTGCAGGCGTCCCGGCCACTCTGCCTGTGCAGCTCTGACGGCCCCTTGCTGCGCTTCTGCTCCTGCCGGGGCTGCACAGGCTGGATGCTTTGCTGGTCACCACCCTGTGTGTGCTAGGGACTGAGCCTGCTGTCGAAGGCACCAGCAGGAGTGTGACAACCGGGAAGCCACGCTGCGCAGTCTGGCTGCCTTGTGGCTGTGCCGGGTCCCCGCAGAGCCCCAGGGCGTGTGCCTGACCAGCTTTGCTGGGCGGAGCCGTGGCCTGCACTGCGTGGTGGCGTGGCTGGGGCTGAGCTGCATGACCCGCTTCCTTCCAGGAGCTTCGAGAACAACTGGAACATTTACAAACTGCTCGCCCACCAGAAGCTCTCCAAGGAGAAGGTGAGGCGAGGGAGCAGAGCCGGCCATGTTGCTTCAGGGGCCCTCAGCCCACCGGCTGCGTGCCTCCCCGCCCTGCAGCCTGGGGTCCGCGAGCTGGGGCTGGCCAAGCTGACCTGTGGAGCCCTTCTCTGCTGCCTGGGGTCTGAGCAGCAAGGGGTCTTAGGTTGGGCTCTGCTTGTGGGCACAGGTGCCAGTTGGACTAGCAGGTCCCACAGCCAAGCCTGGGCCACAGTGCAGAGTCCAGGGACCCCAATGCAGAGTGGGCTGGTTCTTGTCACTTGGCACAAGGCACGAAGTGGCCCATGATGTAACACTGAGAGGACAGCACCAGCAGGCAGAGTCTCTCAGGTTAAGGGGTGTTACAGACTCAGGATGACAAAGGGCTAATTTCTTTGTCCCAGGATCAAGGAGGGGCCACCCACACACTTCACAGTGGGTTCTGGCTCATAGGTCTCTTGGAGGTGGGCTCCAGAGGCTGTGCAGCCTGGCCAGGGTGCCCACTGTCCCACCTCAGCCATCCCTCCAGTGCTCCTGCAGCCTCCTGGTGCCCACAGCATGTCTGGTGGAGCCATGTGGTCTCTCTGCCCCTCCCGGGATCTGGCTGGTGCGTGACCCCCTCTGGGGGCAGCAGGCTGGCTTGGTGGTAGGAACCACAGTCGGGCCACGCTGCCCTTAGGAGTTGGCTGCTGCAGAGCCAGGTATACTGAGGTGCTAGGTGCACGCTGGGTGCAGAGGTGGCGCAGGAGGGCGGTGCAGGCGTGCTGTGTGTAACACTGACCCCCTACTTGCATTTCGGGTGTGCAGGGTTGACTGCAGCAGCCAGTGGAGCTGGTCACTCACTTAGTGTGGCTGCTGGGGGCAGGATGGCCGCAGCCCCCTTCCCCACACCCCTTGGCCCTGCCCTGAGAATGGGCCGTTGCCTGCAACCTCACCTCTGCTTATGCCCCGATGCTGCCCCAGGAGCCCTGCTGGGTGCCAGGGGCCACTCCCCTTGCTGGGGACTGCAGTGTGTACTGGTTGTACCGTGTCTCCTGGGGTCTTTCTCAGCGTCTTTTGGAATTAGGACAGATGTGTGCTGCTCCAGGGGAGCTGGCGGAGTGGACAGCGCTTGCCTTCGCTCACTCCCTGTCCAGCATGTGTCTCATGCTCCGGTCCTGTCCCTTCTCTCTGCAGTCCAACTTCTCCCTGGCCATCCTGAATGTGGGGGCCCCGGCAGCCGGCATGAATGCAGCTGTGCGCTCTGCGGTGCGGACTGGCATTTCCCATGGCCACACGGTGTACGTGGTGCATGACGGCTTTGAAGGCCTGGCCAAGGGCCAGGTGGGTGTGTTGCTGGGGGCGGGGGCTGGGGCCCAGCACTGCACCTGCTGTAGTTGGGTCTTGTTTGCCCTTTGGTCCTTTGGGGGGCTCTTGACATGCAAACCTCAGAGTGGCCCAGTACAGGGGCCAGCTGTTGGGTTTCTGAAGCTGAGGGACTGCGTCCACTTAGCCTTGCCAGCCAGGCCTGGAGATCCCACCCTGGCTGTGTGGCAGTGGTCAGCGTGGCATGGCCTTTGTTCCTGGGCACAGGCCTGCCTTGCTGAGAAGGAGCTGGGAGACTCCACTCCCCTGAACCTGTACCCCCCCCCCCCCTGCCAGGTGCAAGAAGTGGGCTGGCATGATGTGGCTGGCTGGCTGGGACGCGGTGGCTCTATGCTGGGGACCAAGAGGTGAGCTGCCAGCACTGGGCAGTGGGAGGGGAGAGCCAGGGGCAGTCTCCAGGGTCACAGAGGACACCAGCCCTGCAGTCCTAGGAGCAAGCCCCGTTGGCAGCTCTGGGTCAGCCGAGCTGACTGGGCCGGGGCCTCCTGGCCTGAGCTCAGCTGCGGCTGGCTGTGCAGAGGAGCTGCAGTGGGCGCTGCGTGGGAGTGGGCTGGAGCAGGGGCGCCTGTGCCTCTTGCTGGGGTCTGGCCTCTCCTGGCCTTATCACCAGGCATGCCAGCTGTGGCTGTGGTCTCCATCCCAGGGTCTGGTGGTCTCAGGATGATAAACGGGTGCCCAGGCCACTCATGGCCACCTTCCACATCTGTGTCCCTGCACGGAGCTCACTGTCTCAGGGAGGGGCGTTTCAGTGACTGATCATGGACTCTGGGGTGGCCGAGGCATGAGCTTTCTGGGGTCAGACAGTGTGGACATGAGTCCTTGGACACACATGTCCACATGGCATCTGCTGCAGGACCCTGCCCAAGGCCCACCTGGAGGCCATTGTGGAGAATCTCCGCACCTACAACATCCATGCCCTGCTGGTCATCGGGGGCTTTGAGGTAAGGGCTGCCCTGCCCAGAGTCCTGAGTGGGGCTCTCCTGTTTCAGGCCACTTGAGCAGCCCTGCCCACACACCTGGTGGAAGTGCTGCCTCAGGTCACCGTGCTGGTGGTGGGAGGGTCAGGGTGCTTACTGTGGGGTTGGGGCTGGGGCAGTTACCGACTCCTGAAGGCTTCCTCGGTTGACAGCCCTGGGCTGGCGAGGAGGAGAGGGGAGCCTGGGGAGCCCGCGAGGTGTCCTCAGACGTCCCTGACGGCCATGCCCGTAGATACAGAAGGATAAGCCAGCAGCGGGTGGACGTGGGCTCCGCAGCTCCACGGAGCCCTCTGGCCCTCAGCGGACGCGGCTTCCCTGGAAGCTGCCGCGGGATGAGGCCAGGCAAGGGGAGACCGCAGAGCCCCCGGCCTTCCTGGCCTCCGCGCCCAGCCGCACGCAGGTCACGCAGGTCAGGGAGGAGGGTGAGCCCGCACGCAGCGCGCCCCTCCCCCCGTCCCGCCTCGCCCGCAGGCCTACGAGGGGGTGCTGCAGCTGGTGGAGGCGCGCGGGCGCTACGAGGAGCTGTGCATCGTCATGTGCGTCGTCCCCGCCACCATCAGCAACAATGTGCCCGGCACGGACTTCAGCCTGGGCTCGGACACGGCCGTCAACGCCGCCATGGAGGTGCGGGGGCGGGGTCCCGGGGTCCTGCCCACTGCGCCCCTCCTGGGGGTGACGCCCCTCCACTGCGGACCTGCCCTGGCCCTCCTCACCGCCCTCATGGTGTGGGCTGCCGGGCGCTGGGCATGCGCGCCACTGCTCTGCGGCCCAGCCCCAGCTCCCCGCGCCCTGGGGGTGGGACCTCGCTCTCAGGCCCTGCACAGGGCACCTGCCATTGGCTCTTGAAGCACACTTGGGCTTCACCTTGGCCCAGACCCCAAGAAACTTCCTGTATTGTCCTGTCTCCCTTTAAACATTTTTTTTTCCTTGAATTTTCCCTTCCTTTCTTTTTTGGTACCAGGGATTGAGCCAGGAGCACTTACCCACTGAGCCATGTTCTCAGCCCTTTGTCTTGCTGAGTTGCTTAGGGCCTCACTAAGTTGCTGGGGCTTTGAACTTTCCATCCTCCTGCCTCAGCCTCCCGAGTCACCAAGGATCAGGCGTGCGGCCCAGCGCCTGACCAATCTCCTTTCCGAACTCTGAACTCCTTGTGGTTGGCATTGAGCATCACATATCACCATCCCACCTGTTTCTAGCGCGACCCTGAGTGGCAGATTGTGACCCTGGCCCAACCCTGGGAGTCTGATGCCCCATCCCCAACCCCACCCACGGGATGCTGGTGACACTGCCTTCCTGGTGCTACCAGAAATGTCCCCAAGCCACTGTCCACTGTCCCTTGAGTGTAGACTCGTCCCAGCTGCCAGTCCCTGATTCTGTGTAGACCAGGTGGCAGGCCGCCCAGTCTGCCCCCGCCTGGCTGTGGTGAGGTGCTATGGACACCCTGAGCATCAGTGGAAGAGCTGCTGCCTCCTGATCCCTGTCCCTAGGGTCCCTGCAGTGTGGCAGCCTGTGGCCCACCAGGGAGGGTGGGGACACAGACCCCAACAATCCCTTTGATCCCCCAGAGCTGTGATCGCATCAAACAGTCGGCCTCAGGGACCAAGCGGCGCGTGTTCATTGTGGAGACCATGGGGGGCTACTGTGGCTACCTGGCCACTGTGACGGGCATTGCTGTGGGCGCTGATGCTGCCTACGTCTTTGAAGACCCTTTCAACATCCACGACCTGAAGGTGAGCCTGCCCACTGCGGCTGCAGAGTGCCAGGGGTCCACCCAGGCCCTCCTGAGATGCAGGCCTCAGCATCCCTGCCTCACTTTCCACCGGGGGCATCCAGGCCCTGCTGACCCCTGCCCACGGGCTCCTCTGCAATATGTCCACCCCACCCTGGGCCCATCCCTATCCTCCTCCCCAGGCCAACGTGGAACACATGACGGAGAAGATGAAGACGGACATCCAGAGGGGCCTGGTGCTACGGTGAGCTGCCCCAGGGCTCTGGGCACCCGCCTGGGGGGCTGTGGACAGGATGGGGCTGGTAGGACCGACGGCCGCCCTGTGCCCCTCCAGGAATGAGAAGTGTCACGAGCACTACACCACGGAGTTCCTCTACAACCTCTACTCCTCCGAGGGCAAGGGCGTCTTCGACTGCAGGACCAACGTCCTGGGCCACCTGCAGCAGGTCTGTGCAGAGGGTGGGCCTGGGAAAACCTGCCCCCGCAGGGCTCAGGTGTTGGGAACCCCATTCCTGCAACTGCTCTGTGCAGGGCTGGGGCTCCCAGGGGACACTGGCATCCCCTCCACTTCAGGCCTGTGGATGTGAGGCTTGGGGGCCCCCCACTGCCAGCTCCTGGGCTGGACTTTGAGGCCCTCCAGGCAGTGGGCACAGGTGTGGACAATGCAGAGGCAGGAGGCTGGGGTGGTCAGGCTCAGCGGGGCCTGGTGGCCTGGATGTGTGGAGGTGTGTGCCACCTGGGAACCCATCTGCATGGAGTCTCTTCTCCAGCCTGGCCAGCACCTTGTCTGTTTTCAGGGTGGTGCTCCAACCCCCTTTGACCGGAACTATGGGACCAAGCTGGGGGTGAAGGCCATGCTCTGGATGTCAGAGAAGCTGCGCGCTGTTTACCGCAAGGGTAGGTGGGGCGGCCCTAAGGCCCGGCCTTGTCCTTGGAGAGGCCCCGGCTGCACCCAGCCTGCGGCCAGCACGTGCCTTTGTCCACAGGACGGGTGTTTGCCAATGCCCCAGACTCAGCCTGTGTGATTGGCCTGCGGAAGAAGGCAGTGGCCTTCAGCCCAGTCACCGAGCTCAAGAAAGACACTGACTTTGAGTGAGTCCCCCAGAACCACGTGGAGAAGGGTGAACCAGGGCCAGACCTTCCTAGCCCCTGCAAACCCTGACCCTGCGAGCTGCCTCATTCCCACCCAGGTCCTGAGCAGGCCATGGTACAGGCCTCACGTCCAGCACAGAGCAGAGTGGGGAGGGGGAGAGGGCAGGCTGGTCAGGCTGAGGCCTTGGCACCCGACCTCTGCATGTGCCAGCCCCAGATGTCACGTGGGGCAGTGGCCTTTGAGAGGAGGGCATGGGGTTGGGCCCAGCTCCCTGGTCAACCCTGGCCTCTGACCCAGGCACCGCATGCCGCGAGAACAGTGGTGGCTGAGCCTGCGGCTGATGCTGAAGATGCTGGCGCACTACCGCATCAACATGGCCTCCTACGTGTCGGGGGAGCTGGAGCACGTCACCCGCCGCACCCTGAGCATCGACAAGGGCTTCTGAGGCCTGCCTGCCACCTGCTGTGCCCACACAGTCGGGCCCAGTGGGTCTGCTCTGCTGGCTCTGGGGCCCTCTTGGCCTCTCCAGCCCCCGGTCAGGCCTCAGGGCAGGCTGCCTCCAGGACGCAGCACCCTGGCGCCCGTCTCCTCACCCGTGCCAAGTGTGCACAGGCAGCCCTCACCCTCACCAGCCGGCCGGTCACTGGCACCCGTCTCCCTGCCCCGTGTACCCCACTGGCCTGCACCTGCCTGTGCCACCAGTGTGGCTGAGCAACACTGCCACCTTTTCTAAAAATAAAGTCACCCACTGTGGAGTCCGATCGGCCCCTGGAAAGCACGTCTCTCGGAATGTCTGAGGGGGTGGGCAGGACCTGGATAGGCCCCCAAGGTCATGGGGCCCCATAGCCCCAGGGGTGAGCCAGGACCCAGGAACAAGGGCCCCACCCACAGTTTTCTCCAGAATCAGCTGGAGAGTGACTGTCCCCAGGGCCACCATCCCGATCTGAGTTCCTCCCTAGCCCTGCCCCCGGGACAGAAGGGGCTGCAGCCTTACCCTGGTCAGCAGTTTCTGACCCATGTAGCCCCCACCCCTGACCTTAAATGGTCCCCTAGACTCGGCCTATGCTGAGGTCCAGCCCTGCAGCTGCTGGGGGGTGGGGCTGGGGTGCATCACCACTGGGGGCTCAGTAATCCCACCAGGAGTCTGGGAGGCGGCTGCAGCCCTGCCCCTCGTGGAGGCTGTGGGGGATATACACTGCACTTGGGGTCACCTGCTAGCCCTGCACAGGGCTGTTCCAGAGCCCAGCTCACTGCACAAGCCACATTTCAGTGCCCTGTGATGACCGGGCACTAAGCCACAGACCAGGGCCACTCTGGAGTGCGTGGAGGCTCAGGCTGTGGCTTCCCTTTTGAGGGCTGCAGGCAACGTTGAGGGTCCGAGTGGACAGGGCCTGTGGGGCAGCCCCAGGGCCAGGTGAGGGTGCTGGAACCTTCCCTCAGGTTGCCCTTAGCAGGAGCCTTGGCCCTGTTCCTCCCACAGGGCAGAATGCCTGGCTGGGCTGGCCCCATGCTGTGCTCCAGTTGGCCACCCACGTGGTCGCTGGTCTTAAGGGCCCAGGCCTCCTGGCTGCTCACTCCTGGACCTCTGGTCTTCTGACTGTTGGGGAAGTGGGTAATTCAGGGGACAGGCTGGGGAGAGGACATCTGCCTGACCCTGGACCTGAGCTGAGTCTGGGGGCCTCAGTGAATGCTGTGAGGTGCCTGAGCCCCTGGGGGAGTGGCTGGGAGCTGGGGCAGGGGCCCCCCAGATAGAGAGCGCTTGCCTGGCATCCACACCCAGACCCGCCTCCGTGCTGGCCCAGGCTGCTCACCCAGCACCACAGCTTCCCAGTCCCCAGGTGTCCTCCATTCCTCTGTCCTGCCTCTGGCAGTTGGCCACACTTCACCTCGGGACGTGCCCACATCAGGGCCCAAGAGCAGACCACACGCCAGCACTGTGCTCTTCAGTTCCCAAACTCCCCTGTGGGGGAGCAGACGGGGACAGCGGCCGGGCCTGGGAAGGCCTAAGGCCCAAGGTGCTTCTCAGCAGAGCCGCTCTTGGAGGGGCCCTGGAGGGCAGGGTGGCCTGCGCAGGTGCAGGGGTGGGGAGACGCCTGGTGCTTCTCTGCTCCGTCCCGCTGCGTCCTCTTACCACTCCAAGATTGATTTTAAGGAAAATGCTGACCTTTCTGTGAGCCTCCCTGGACCTGAAATCTCCGAGGAAACCTCAAGGTGGTCATGGAACTTGAGCAGCAGCCGTCCAACAGAATGCCTGGCGCCCGGAAGGGTTACCCACAGTGGGCGGGTGGACAAGCACAGGGCAGTGGTCCCCAGCTGATGGGGACAGTGCTAGGTGGCACGCTGCAGAGCCTTCCTGGCAAACCTCCATCTGTGCGCAGCAGCTCTTCATGGCTGGGGCAAAACACCTGAGACAACAACTCAGGGGACAGATGGCTGGCTCGGGGTTTTAGAGGGTCCGGTCTATGGGCAGCTGGCTCCATGGCTCCAGGCCTGAGGCGAGGGGGAGGAAAGCCACTCAGCTGGTGGCAGCCAGGAAGCAGAGGAAGAGGCCAGGGACAGAGTCCCCAAGGCCATACCTCCAAGGACCAGGTCCCTTCAGCTAGGTCCCACCTCCCAGTAATGCCATCAAATCATTAACCACAGCTGAGGTCAGAAGCTCATGGACCTGTTGCTTCCCGAGAGCCCACCTGAGCACCAAGTGCACTGGGCACTCTGCGGCTCTGGAGACCAGGACTTCCACACGGGTGCCTCTGGGGACACTCTGATTCACCATGCCCCTGCACACTGGTTCAGAGGTGGGCTCGTGACATCAGGAGCAGCCAGAAATGCCTGGCCCTGGCTCCCAGGTTCCCAGGACCGCCTTGGCCTTGCCACTCGGAGCATGGCCTTCTCCCTGTGCTGGCGCAGCTGAGGGGACATCCATAGAGGGGACTCAGCAGGGGCTGACGCTGAAAACAGGGCTTGCGGATGGACAGCACTGGATGTGACTTTGAGGCTGCACCGGGGCCACCCACGGGCCCAGCTTTGCTCCTCACAGAGGACCACCTTCCTTTGCGGGGGGGGTACCAGCTGGGTTTTAGAAGGGCCCCACAGGCACAGAATGTGGTGACTTCCCAGGGAACCTCTGAAAGCAGGCCTGCCACCAGGGCAGTGGACACACGGAGACCCTGTTCCACAGCAGGAAGCACGACCAGGCAGCATTTCAGGAGCAGCGCCCACATGCTCAGGGGTCCTGTGTGGGGTGCAGGTGGGAGGCAGGCGCACAGCCAAGACCGTGAAGGCCAGCCCTGAGTGCCACGTGGCAAGGTGAGCCTCTGCCCCCTCCCAGGCTGGCAAAGGGGATTCAGCAGGTCTGCATGCCCAGCTGGCGACTTCGGAGCTGAAGGCAGTTCTGAGAGATGGCTCTGCAGCCCAGAGGGTCCATGTCCTGAGCACGGGGCAGCCCTCGCTGCAGCGTCCCAGGTGATGGGCTCCAGAGTCCCCACAGATCCCCCTTGTCTTCAGGGAGGATGGCTGTCAGGGAACAAGCACTCACCCTCACCAAGGGCAGCCTGAGGTTTGGGGACAAAGCGGGACATGCCCCACCATCCAGGAATCCTTTCTGCTTCCTGCTTCTCTGGAGAGCTCCCTGTGAGAACAGCAAGAGCACCACAGTCCTGTCCTCCCCTGCTCAGGTGTGGCGTCCTGCCTGGAGGTGGGGTTTCATGTCTGGACACTGAATCTGCAAGGCTCTGGCGGGAGCACTGGACACTTGTTCAGGTCAGTCAGATGTGGTCAGAGCATTATGGTGGCTTGGTTCCATTAGTGCACGCCACACTCTGGGGTCAGGACTCCATTCTCAAAGTGGACCCCTTAGCTCATCCTGCCAGATACAGTGTAGAACCTGCCCAACTGTACAAAATCTTGGTGACCTGCCAGGGCCTTGGGTGATGCCAGATGAGGAGCCTGTCTCCTCCCCAGACAGCGCTCTAGGAGAGCAGTGGCCACCTCTGGCTGTGCTGCATACAGATTCCCAGTGAGTGGTGCATCCTGGGTCTCAGCCCTCACCTGCACAGGACACTGTGAGGTCAGTTCCTGCTTTGGGGTCATCTGGAGAGATGTAAGTCCCACTGCAGCCTGGGGCCAGGCAATGGCGGAGGGTCTCAAGGGGTAGCGGAGGGGAGGGCGAGCTGGCAGCGGTGTGCAAGGACGTGGGGCAGGAGGAGGCTAGGGCAGGCCCACCCCACAAGGCACCCAGGTGGCCAGGCGTGCGGGGGTTGGGGAGGGCCTCCTTCAGTTCACACGACCCTCTGTTCTAAAGATGATGGCTTTATTGAGAGCCTCTGGCACCTTGGGAAGTCAAGTGTCCACACCAGACATCCCCAACACAGCGACTCCTTGGTTTCCACCCTCAGAGGTCACATCCGTCCTGAAGAACGTACAAGGTCACCCACCCACAAAGGTCCCTGCCTCCGCCCTGGCCCTCCACAAGTCCAGCACAAGGGCCTCTATGAGTTTCCAAGTAATGGCATGGCCATCTGCAAGTCCCCGGCCTTCAGGATGCTGGCCATTGCTGGCCCATGAGCCCATGTGCTCTCGGTCGTGCAGGGACGGCTGCCTCACGGCTGTGGCCGCAGCCCCAGGCGGGAGAGGGGCACACTTGCTCTCCACCCAGCCGCTGCCCCGCCATCTGGGCTGGCTTTCTACCCCGCAGCTCCTTTATAAGTGGGATGCATCCTGGTCCTGGGGACACCAGGCTGGCCCCAGGCTGTGGCATTCCCACTGGGCCCCCAGCACCCTGTAAGGCCTGGGACCCTTCCAGAGGGAGGCGTGGGTGCAACCTGCACCTACCTGCCCATGGCCACACTGGTGGCCTGAGGCCATGTCCCTCACTCTGGCTCAGCACCCGCTGCCTCCTGCTGCAGGGTGCTTAAAAGGGGTCAGAGAAAGAAAAGCGACGGCTGTCCTGCCCGTCCTTCCGTGGGAACCGCCTTTGGCTGGCAGCGGTGGCCGTGGTGCGGCGAGGTGCGGGGCAGCTGTCTAGGGTGCCGTCACTCTGGACGTCTCCCTGGGTGGCAGGACCTGCCCAGCGACTGAGGACACTCCCTCAGCTGCCGAGACGCACTTACCTCTGAGGTCGAGGTGGCACCTGCCGCTCAGGGGATGCCGCTTCCAGGGCAGACGGGAACAAGCTTTATTGGTGAGCACAGCCCACGGAGGCCTCCAGACCCGGAGGCCCCAGAGCAAGTCCTGGGACAGTCTGAGGCAGCCGGGTCGGCCTGCCTGACCTCGCCTGGTGTGGCGAGCGGAGAAGACTTTCCCGGTGGGGCCAAGCTTGAGGACGGAGCAGGGTCCAGGGGTGGAGTGCATGGAGGGCCCAAGCTGTGGCCGTGCTGGTGGTCACTCTGTATCCTCCCGCAGCTCCTGCAGGTGAGGGGCCTGGAGTCGGCTGCCCACAGCCTGCTGGATGGTCTCCAGCCCCTCTGTGTCCAGCTCCCGCAGCAGCAACAGGATGGCCGTCAGCACGTTCTGGGGGCAGGAGAGTTGCTGACCTGGGGCCTGGCCAGCGGTACCCCTCAGGGCTCAGCAGCTTGGGGCAGCTCCCTCCAGGCGGCCAACCGCACAGAGCACCGTGGGGAGAGTCCACAGAGGACACCAACGTGCTGCTGCACCCTGGCCCACCAGCCCTCAGTCTGTGCCCTTGCTTCAGCAGGGGACCAACGCACAGAGGCTGAGGGCACCCACTGACCCACCCACAGCTGTCTGTATTCCCAAGAGGGGACAGGGCCGCTCTGACAACAGAGGAGGGAGGTGTCTGCACACAGGGCTGCTTGGGGCCTGCAGGCACATCCTGGATGAAGGACCTGCGCTGACCCTGACACCTGCACCACCCAATGGGGACCTGGGGCCATCTGTGTCCTTGCTGGACATGCTTGCAGGGGCAGGGCCACCTGAGGCAGGCTGGAGAGGACAAGGCCACCCATCTTCCTCTCAGGGGCAAGTGTGTGACCCAAGGACCTTGCCATGCACTTGTGGACAACACTTCTGTCACCGGCCTACATTGCAGGGGGGTCTGTGGGGACAGGCTTGGAATTGTACCCGGTGGCTCCCAGCCACACGTGGGAGATGGAGCTCACACGTAGAGTGGAGGAGGAGGGGTTCTGAGGGCTGGTGACCTGGGGCTCCCACTGGTCAGAAGGGTGAGTGCAGCTGAGCTTGGGGCCGTGGCAAGGATGACACCCCTGTTTCCCCGACTCTTCTCAAATAAACCAGGCCACAGGCTGGGCTGACCCAGCTGCCCACCCAGGCCTCAGTGTGTGGCCACGTCGCTCTGTTACTTGGGGAGTGCTTTCCCAGAGGTGCGGCCAGCACCGTCGTGATGGCGAGCCCTGCAAGGAGCGGCCCTCGGTCTGCGTCTCTGCTCCTCCCACCAACTGTAGCTTGAGGGGGTCACTGTGACTGAGTGAAAGAGCCCTGATCTGTGATGTCAGGTGCCCCTGCCCTTCAACTGCCGGCCTCCTGGACAGGACATCTGTGAGCCCACAGGCAGACCAGGCCCTGCAGGGCTGACGCTGGGCATGGGGAGCACTGCTGGGCTGTCGCTCCCTCTTGGCCCCAGCTCTGCTCAGCGGTGTGGCTTCCTCATGACCTAGGTGTAGGCTGGGGCAGGGCCCTGGTCCTGGGCTAACTGCCCAGGGCTGGCTCGGGCTCCGCACACCACACCTCGGGCTGGTGAGCACAGCTGCTGGGGGCAGGGGGACCTGAAAGCTGCCTGTCCCTAATAAAATGACACATGAGGGAAGAAACACCTCTCTCCTTCTCGGAGTGGAGAGGGGAAGGAATCGCAGGACAAGCCAGATGCCGTGGGCGGCAGGCGGGAACTGGGCAGGAGCCCTGGAAGCTGCCTGGACTCTCACCACGTTGCCCACTTGACTTTCTTAGGTCACCAACCCAGGCTCTGTTATTGGAGATTGGGCACTGACACCGCGTCCAGCCCCATCGGGACAGGAAAGGGGAAAGGACTCTGTGGGCAGCAGGTGTCTGGGGCTAACACAAAACAGAGGGAGTGTCCCGCTCCTCCGCTGGCACTGACCCAGCCCTGGCCTCGCACACCTGCCTCCTTAGCCACATCAATAGGCTCAGATCTGAACCAGGCCCCCGCCCTGGCCCTGGGGCTGGGTGCGCTGTCCCACCTTGTTGCCAGCCGCTCTCCCCACAATGCCTGCATTCTGGGGGTGGGGGTGGGCAGCAGCTATCTGGCCAGGGTGGCCTGTATCACTCACCCTGTTCTTGTGGCTGCTTGAAATGTCCCTCTGTGAGAAGGATGGAAACTGGTCCTTGGCAGAGGGCTTCAGGCTGAGGTGGCCCTGGCTGCTGCTGGTGAGAGGGGAGGGGAGGGCCTGAGGGGGTGGCATCTGTCACCTTGGCAAACAGTCCAAGAGACTGAACACAGGAGTGGGAGTCCCTCCGCCATTGCAGGAAGTGGAAGGAAGGCCAACCCCAGTCCGGGGACTTTCCAGGTGGCTCCTGTGCAGCTCCTGAGGCGGCTCTGAGGCAGCCTCATTACTGCACCTGGTCTCCAAACTGCCAGGGCCTAGGGCCGAGAACCCCAGCCCACTATGACCCTGACCAGGGGTCAAGGCACCAGTGCTGGCCTGCAGCCGTCCACCACAGAGCTCATTCCAAACGCACTCACACAGTGGGGGCAGGGGCCTGGCCTGCTGAGTGGAGCTCCGCCTGGGCCGCTCTCATAGGACCACAAGAGCAGCAGGCTGCCCCCCCGGAGCCACTAAGTGCCGTAGGTCAGGGGAGCCGTAGGCCAGCAGGCCTCCCAGGAACAGTGGCCTCCTGCTCCCTGGCATGTGTGAGTTCTATGAGTCAGCACTGGAAGTACTGGGAGTCACTCCAGAGAAAAGAGAAGCCACCCAGAAACCCCCCCTCACTTTCCAGACAGGAACACAGCAAGCCCCTGGGACTCCCGAGGACCCGGGAGGAGGCCCACTCCCCTCCAGCCTCACTCTGCCTCCTCGACGTAGCTCAGCGGGTCCTGACTGGTCTCCTGGCTGGAGCTGATGGAGCTCAGCGTGCAGGGGGGCTCCGGGTGGCCATTGCCCACGCCCTCTCTCTCTGGGGCAGCGGTGATCTCGTCTCCCTCCGTCAGCGCCCGGGCCAGCTCTTCTTCAGTCACCGCTGCGGGATGAAGGACAGGGAAGCAAGGGCATCCGACAGCCTCCTCCCCAGTCACACACACTGCAGGCCCTGGGCCCACTGGGGCCTCCAGCACAGCCTGCTTCTGATGTAGGCAGGCTCTGTCCACTGACGGTCAGTCTTGCCCTCCGCACCTCGGTCAGTGGCCAGGGACTGCTTGGGTCAATTCCAGCATCTGCTGGGAGCAGAAACCCCTATCAAGACAACAGCTTTTCTTTCATTCTTTTTGCGTGTGTGGTGCTGGGAGCTTTGCGTGTGCTGAGCAGGGGCTTTGTCAGAGCTGGCCCCCAGCCCAAAAGGCAGGCCTTAAGAAAGAACAGACTGGGCTGGGCACAGTGTGCAACACCTGTGACCCCAGCTACCTGGGAGACTGAGGCAGGACGATCAGAAGTTCAAGGCCAGCCCGGGCAACTTAGCAAAACTGCCCCAAAATAACAAATAAAAATGGACAGTGGTGCGGCTCAGTGGTAACGCACCCCAGTTCTCAGATGGGCACCTGTACTGCATCCAGTCAGGTGACACTGACACCTGAGAGGGGACAAGCAGTGTCAGAGCTGCCGTGTGACAGAGGAGACCAGAGTACCGGGGAGTACAGAAGAGAGAAGGAGGCAGGCAGACCTCCCACCAGGGTCTGCTTCCACATGCTATGTGGCGGCCACAGGGCAGGGACACTCACCTTGGTTGTCCAGCTTCTGCAGGCCAGGAAGGTTGCGCAGCACGGTCATCCGGTAGAGGTGGGGGCTGGAGCCGCAGCACGGGTTCTCGGCCAGCCACAGCACCCTGAGGTGCGGCAGGTCCTTCAGGTAGAAGAGCTCGTCCAGGCTGGGGATGCGGTTCCGCCTCACGTACAGCTCGCTCAGGCGCCGGCAGCGGCTCACAGGCTCCAGGGTGGAGACGCTGTTGACGCTGAGGACCAGGACAGGCAGTGCCCTGAGTGGGCTGGCTTCCAGGCAGGTAGGGACCTCTGTGGCCATGGGTCCCACCTCGTTCATGAGCACCTCCTGGGGCTGCAGCCACCCACCTACCTTACCCCTGGAGTCAAGGTCAGCGAAGACCCCAGCAGGGGAGAAAGCTTCAGGTACAAGGCCCCTTCGTGGAGGCACAGTGGTGGCTGGCCACGCAGGAACTGTTCCTGCCGCCCCTCCTCTGCACTCCTGTGGGAGGGGAGGTGCTTTGCCTTCCTCTGTAGGTGAGGACACTAAGTCCCCCGAGGGATCCATCATTTAGCCCCAAAGCCAGCAGTGGCCAGAGTGCCTGGCAAAACCTACACATGGGCTCTGAGCCACCCAAAGCTCAGCAACGAACCCCTGGATTAAGGGGAACAAAGGCGTGGGCGTAATGTCCATTCCCTCTGGAATGAACACATTAGAGAAGCAGAAAACAGAGCAGACCCCTGAAGGTGTCCACCCCACCTCTACAATTAACAGTGCCTTCGCGCCCAGGTGCTCAGCTAAGGGTGGCCGCGCATCCTCCTGCATCCTGAGCAGGGGCCCAGCCTGATGTGCCAGTCCTACCTGCAGCACTCCTTCCTGGGGGCTGCCCTGTGTGGGGCACACCCCAGGAAAGGGCAGTGGCAACACGCCAACCACAGAACCCACCCAGTGTCTGCAGGCAGCCCCTCTAAAGTATCCGAGTGGGCAGGAGGGAGTCAGGGGCCACGGGGAGCTCTGCTCTTCCCCTCAAGCACTCCCCGACTGCCTGAAATGCCAGCAACGACATTTGGCTTCAAGGTTGTGATAGTGAAGGTTTCCTTAGTCGGCTGGAATCCAGTGCCTGGGAAGAGGGAACTCTCGCCGGGGAGAGGCCCTGGGATGCAGGGAAACTGGTGAGCTCCTGGAGGTGATTCAACCAGGAAGGCAGAAAAATTGGGACACTAGGTCCCTGGGGGTAGACCTGGCCATGGTGAGGGCAGGCCAGGGCAGGCCAGGGCTCATTATCAGGAGGCGCTGGGGGTGCACGGGGAATCTGGCACCCTCCCCTCCAGAAGCCACCCTCCCAGACTCTGCTGAGTTCCCAGGTTGTCCCTCATCACTTGGTCCCACAGGAGGCACATGAAGCCATCCCCAGCTTCCACACCTCAGGGACTAGAGCAACACAGGGCCAGGTACCTGAGCGTGATCACCTCCAGGCTGGGCATCTCCCGGCATATGGAAATCTAGGGAGGAAATGAACACGGCTGGCAAATATCACTTGGCACTGGTGCCTGATGTCACTTCTTCCAGGCCAGTGGAGAAATCTGTCAGAGCCTTGGTCTACTGCACCGTGGAACCCAGGGTCCATGACCTGGCCCAGCCAAGCTCTCAAAAGGACTCTATGGGGCATTCTGGGCTCAGTGTCATGCTGTCCTGTGCTGCCCAGACCTTCCCTCACTAAAGGGGAAACTTGTGCTGTGACATTTTAGAACAATGTCATTGACATCAAATGCTATTGGCTGCAGAGACAGAACACTACTCATTTACATGCCTCAAAGGTCATCAGGTCAGGGGAACTCAAGATACCTTCTACTGGGTCTGAGGACCTTTCTACTGACTGTCCCTGAGGTAAAAGAAAGGAAACGAGCCCCTCCTGTCCCCAGAGCCAGCCTTGAATCTGGGTCTCAGACCATAGCAGCACCATCCATCCCAGGGAACTGGGCAGCTGCTGCAGGGCTGTATGCCAGTTGCCACGTTCAGGTCTTCATAGACCCACAGGCTCCAGCTCCCCACCCCTGGCTGCTCTCGGCCTGCTGTGGAGTGGGCTCGGGGCCTGAAGCCGGCACTGACCAAGAGGAAGCCATGCATAGAGCCCCTGATGACCATACGTCTCCTCAGAGGAAAACCAGTCCTCCCAGGACTGCTTCCCAAAGTACGCTGTGACTGCTCCTCTGATAGGACCAGCAAGGGATGGCACGGAAGGACAGCCTTAGCTCTGCTGCTTTAACAATTCTCTTTACAGCTCTTGGGGGGGGACCATTTGGAGACGATCAAGGCAATACTCACATCAGTGAGACGGCTGCCCCTGGGGAAAGAAAAGACATACTTTAATCTTATTGGAGTTGAATATAAACAGAATATAAAAAACAAGAATTTCAGGCTGGGGTTATGGCTCTGTGGTATAATGCTTGCCTAGCATGTGTGAGGCCCTGGGTTCAACTCTCAGCACCTCATGTAAAAAATAAAGGTCCATTGACAACTAAAAAAATAAATAAAATAAAATCTGTATTCTGCTCCTTAGAGGTGAACAGTTAGTACCAGGAACCTTCATAGCCTATTCATGGGTTGCTACAGCTAAAATAATCTACATATTTTTAAAAAATCCAAAAATTGATGACCACTAGCCTTAAGATTCTATAATTTTGATGGCACAGTAAAAAAGAAAGTTTACCTAGATAACTGGAAAATGTGTCAAAACGATGAGGTTGGTGCCAGGGAATGTTTTTCAGATTAAGGAGCAGTAGGAGTTGCACCCATTATAAGACACAAAAAGATTTACTTAGTGTTCTCAGTGGCTGAACAGCAGAAGGTTAATGTCCCTCACTGGTGTACACAAGGGAATCTTCATGAAAGGCCACATCTAAAGGCTAAACATGCAACTTATGAAGCCAGTGTCAAAGGCCTGCAATGGGACTGTTGTTTCTCCTGCACAGAGAAAGCATTGACCACCACGTGCCAAACAAAGAAAGGCATTGCTGAGAGCCAAGGGCAGAAGGGAAACTGTGGCCAAAGCACCAGATGTGCCCGGCAGAGAGCAAGACTTTAATTAACACAGCAGAGCTGAACCACTCCGGTTGGTTTGCTGACACCACCAGGAGCAAGGGTCTGCCCTTATGTAGCCCCCTCCCGGCTGCATTGGGTGGAGGAGCCTCCTGAGTCCCCGGGAACACCTGTAGTTCGCTCAGGACCCAAGTGCAGGCTCCTGCTCTGGAAGCTGTGGTCTTCCTTGGCCAAGCCAGACTCAGCTGCCTGCCTTTAAGTCCACATGAACCCCATCGCATCTGTGTCCCCCCCTTGCTGCCACCCCCAGAGAGGGTCGCTTGGGCACAGCATTCCCCCAGTATCTAGTAACCAAGGAGCTCAGTGACTTTACAAGCTCAGTTCTCTCCCTCCCTCTAGAAAAGGTAGCAATCATCGTGGCCTTCCACCTCATCAGCAGACCTGGTACTCAATGACTGGTGGCACCTTCCAATATCAACACATCTACAGAGAGGCCATGTGCCCTAAAGCCACCTGAAAGTTACTCAGCTAGTCCAAAGGGCAATTTGGGCTGTGTCAGGCTAGGGCAGCGTGTGGAGACTGGGGGGCGATGCAGACCTGCTCCAGGGGGTACAGGGGTGGGGGGCGGGTGAAAGCTCTGGAGTGACCTTTGCCCCTGATCACCAGGGCTTGCGCAGCCACGGCCAGGCAAGCCGCGGCGGATACCCCGGGAGGATGTCGCTGATGGCCAGACTTCCCGCCCCGCGCCCCGGTGGACACGCCGCACGCGGGCAGCGCCTGTGGCCCCAGCCTCACCAGCAGTTGAGCTTCCGCACGCTGTGCAGCTCCGAGGCCTTGGCCCGGGACAGGACCATCTTCCGTGTCAGTTTCATGGCGGCCGCGTGGCGCGGACCAGGTCCCGGCCGTCGCCCCTCACCCCTCACCCTTCCTGGGGTCGCTCCTAGTCCCTCGCCCCCAGCTCCTCGCGGCCGGCGATGACGGCTCCGTGGCGGCGCGTCTCTAGGGGGCGGAGCTTGCGTCGTCAGGGGCGGGTGCTGCGAGCCCATTGGCAACGGGCGAGTGGGCGGTCCCGCGCCGGCGCAGTGAGGGCCCCATGGCTCCCGCAGAGCGCTGGCTCCGCCCCCCTCGTTCGCCCCGCCCCCTGGTCACTTGAGGACCCGGCGTGTGTGCGTGGCGCTGGGTTCTGACGTGTTCTGACGCGGTACCAGTGCGCGCGGTGGGCGGCGCTCGGTGGGGTGCTTTCCGGTTGCAGAACCGCGGCCGGGCATGGAGAGGGCGGTCCCGTCGCTGCTCTGACCTACGCGACTTAAACTGTGAAACGAGGCCGGGGCAGCGCGGCGCGGTGCGCAGGTTTCCTCCGCTTTCAGGAAAGGTGCAGACGCCCCGCGGAGGCGCAGGTGCCCTGCTAGGGCGTCGGCTCCGGCGCGCTCCCGCCGGGCCCCGCTCACTCTCTGTAACCGGGAGATGTGCTGCGAACACTTCGCCTGGATTCTGGTGTTGAGAAGCCTTTCCCCGGCCAGCCCCTGGGATGTGCCTAGCAGCTGTCCGGCGCGCCTCTCGGGTTGCAGTCAGGCTACCGCAAACTCGTTTATGCTGGAAAGCCTGTCTCAGTTCTTTTTAGGATGACAGCTTAAACAGCGTCACCTGGGCCATGGGGTACCGCCCTGCGGCGTCTGTGTGGCTGCTTGAGGGCGTGGGATTAGAGGGAGGAAGTCCTGGTGAATTCAGGTTCTGTTAGAGTGGACTCTTAACGTGTTGAATAGAAACTCTGTGGCTTTGGGTACTGTAGCTGGGGATCCGCTGCGTTTTGCCGAACCCCTTCCCTATACAACTCCAGGCTAGACTTGACCCTGAAAGGTTGCATGAGATATGATTTTTTTTTTTTTTAAACCAGAGACTGAACCGAGGGGCGCTTAACCATTGAACCACATCCCCAGCCCTTTGTATGTATGTATTATTTTGAGATATGTATTATTTTAAGTTGTCAAGGGCCTCACTAAGTTGCTGAGACTGGCTTTGAACTTGCCATCCTCCTGCCTCAGCCTCCTGAATTGCTGGGATTACAGGTTGCGTGATATTTGGAGGGCGCAGGAGCAGCAGCCGTGGTCACACAGGAAGGCCATCATGGTTAGAGATAGGGAGAGGCATAGAATATGTGGTGTGCTCCTTGATCTGCAGCCACCTCCCCCTCTCTGTGGTCCTGCTGTCCACTAGCAGTGTGGCCACCAGCATCCTTTACTGCAAACTCAGGCAGGCACAGATGTCCTCACCAGGCCCCATGATGGTCTTTCCTCCAGAGCTGGACATGCCCCAATCCCTGTGTCCCTGCAATTGCTTCCAACCTGCTTCCTGCTTCAGGAGGGCTGCTTAGGGACTGGCCCCACATTCTCCAACTTCTAGCTTCCTGTTTTCCTATCCTGCCACCCTCATGATGTCCAATTCCTGTAATAAATGTCTAATGTCAGAGTGCTTAAAAGGGATTTGTCTCTCTGAAATAGGCAAGAAGAGTGACCCAAACTTGCCTAAACCAAAAATGAAACATTGACTCCCATCCCTGAGATGTCCAGGGTTGTGGCTTCAAGCATGGCTCCATCCAGGGTCTCAGACATTGTGCTCAGTGCCTGGGCTCTGCCCACCCCTGTGTTAGTCCCATTCTGATGCTCCCCACCCTCCAGATCCCGGCGTGCATCCTGACTGCTTTGGGTACAGCAGAAAGAATGCTTTTCCGAACTCCTCTAGTCCAGGTTTGGGGATTGGTCCTATCTGAGTCATGGGCTGCTCTGAACAGGCCATGCCCAACTTGGAACGCGAGGCTTGGAACACGAACAGGAAGCAGGTGTCAGTGTGCACAGCTGGGTGCCAGCTGAACTGCTTCAGGCCCAGTGTGTCACCCACCTCCCTGCCCAGGAAGCTCCTGGCAGCTCAGAGCTGATGTCTTCCCTGGACCTGCCTTATTCCTAGGAGGCTGGCCCTGGGTCACACCCTTCCCACTAATCACTGGGTGATAATGGGAGGGTCCCTGGGTCAGACTCCAGGTGTCAGGGTGGCACAGCTATAAAGGCTCCTGGCCTCAGAGGGGCCATGGCCACACTTATGTAATGGGCATTGCCCCTGCTCCTGTGTCCTATACTGGTGGTGACCCTGAGCACCCTCCCCCCTGCCCAGTAACCTCCCAGGGTAGAATGCCTGCTTCCCAGGGAATGAGGGCTGCCTGAATGGAAGGCCACCTCTTTCCTCACCAGTTAGGCTGCCTGGACTCCCCTTTGCCACTGGATGGGGTTCTGACACTCATGGCTGGGTGCTGAGGACCATGTTCAAAGACACACGAGTGCCACCTCCTGCTCCCTGCTCAGGGATCCCAGAGTCCCTACAGCAGAGCCCCTGGAGTTGACCCCCACGCTCCGCCTCTCAGGTGACCCATCCAGCTTGCACCTCTCTAGGTGCCTGTCAGCCTCCTGTGGCTGCATGACAAATTGTCCAAAACTCAGCAGCTCTTGTAGGCATTTGTTTTCTCCCAATTCTGAGGGCTAAGGACTCTGGGGCAGCAGAGCCAGGTGGCCTGGCTTGGACCTCTCCTAAGTATGCCTGGGCAACGGTCTCATCAGATGGAGGGACTCCGTGCATTGCTGGCCCTACCGCCCACTCTCTCTTGCCACCACCTCTGGCTCTTGTCACCACCTTGGCCTTCCTGTTGTTCCCCAAGCGCAGATGTGTGCCACCCCCAGCCTGTGCGCTTGCTTTGACCTGTGTCCAGAGATACTCAGGCAGTTCTGTGGCCATGCCATCACTTCCTCCAGGTCACTGCTCGGAAAGGCCTCCGGCCAGGCCTGGGACCATGCCTGCTCCTCTCCAGCTCCTCTGGATTCTTCATGATATCTGTTGCAACTGGAGATGATTCTCCCGCTTGTGTTCTGTTCACGGTGTCTCCTGTGGGCTGCAGGCCATGATGGCAGCAGCCTGTCTCCTTCCTGAGTTGGCACAGGGCTGAGGCTTCGGGAACTGCTCCTCCACTGACCCACTGACAATGCAGGGTCCACAGCTGCCTTCAGGTGCAAGCTGGATGGGTCACCTGATAGTTCCCAGCTGGGAGCCTTGGGCAAGTTTTCCATTTCTCTGAGCCCCAGCCCCTCCTCAATGGGTGGGGGATGTCATTTTGTTCAGTTCAGTTTAACAGAGTGCCATGGACTGGGGGCTGAAGTGACAGACAGTTATTGCTCAAGGTTCTGGAGGATGGAGTCAAAGTCAAGGTGCCAGTAGAGCTAGTGTCTGGTCCACCTGCTATCTCTGTCCCCATGGGGTGGAGAGAAAGACTAGCAGGCCATCTGTGTCTGCTCTTATCAGGATGCTAATCCCACGTTGAGGGCCCCACTCTCATAACCTAATATCTTCCAAAAGGGACTCAATGCCATCACATGGGGACTGGGGAATGGGGAGGCACACACACACCATCGTTCATCACGAGGGATGAGGTTCCTTCTCGCCACGCGTGGTGGTGAGAACCACAGTGCACCTGGAGAGCCCGGCAGGGAGGGTCTGCTCAACCAGCTGTGGGCCTGCCTGCCCTCTGCTGCCAGATGACCTACACCGGTGGCCACAGGGTCAGGAAGGAACAGCAGTGTTTTAGACCTCCAGGGCAAATCCTAGTTGTGGTGGGAGAGAAGAGCAGCTCAGGTTTGTTGATTTATATTCAGAGTGTCCTCAGAGATCTTTCTGGCCTTGGGTCACTCCCAGCTCTGCTGTCACTGTAGTTATAAAGAGGTGCCACCTGTTATTGAAGTCCAGAAGTCCAGAAAACATGCCGTGAGCTGACTTTGAACCCTTGTGGGGTGCTCTTCTTTGCCACTACACATTGCAAGAGCAGTTCTCTTTGCTGAGATGTTTCTGGAATGAAGTTGACTTGCTGATCACAGAGATGAAGGAAAATAAAGATGTTCCAGACTGAAGTCCACTTCTTTAGACCATGGATCAAACCCCAAATGTGGTTCTCCTCCTGTATTTGTAAATAAAGTTTTATTGACACACAGAGGCACCAATCCATTTTTGCATTACCTATGGTTGCTTTACTGCTGCAGAGGCAGAGGGGTGCAGCTGCACAGAGATCATAAGATCTGCTTGTAAAGTTTGCAGTAGTTATTACCTATCCCGACACAGGAAAAGTTTCCTGGGTGCTCCTTTGTCCTCAGACCCCACCCCCTTTTCCCTCTGCTCTGGTCTCAGGACCCAGCAGCCTGCTTTCCCTTGCTCCTGTGCATCCACGTGACCAGAGTATGTTAGATCACTTTCTTTTTTCCCCCACCAGTTGTGGTTTTCTCCTTGCTGCCAAAGCAGGGGGCTTTTTATCTTGGGCATAATGTCCATGCCATGAAAAACTCCTTGTGCTGGACATTTCCTGCATCGGAACCTGAGGCAGTTCTCCACGCAGATCAGAACATGCTGCCTTCCTGCTTTATGGTTGGTGCCCCTTTTGTTTTTATGGGAAGAATGTTTCATAATTGCCATTGCAGTGGCTTCTGGAAGACTGTGTGGCCTTCTTGTAAAGCATGTGATTTTTCTCTAGAAATGAAGGAGACTCTCTGGGGCAACACAGGCACAGATGTTTCATCAGAGATGCTCAGTTGATTAACCACTTCACCTTAAATGACTCTCCCGTAGAGGCCCTGGGATACTTGGAAACCAAAGTCCAGGTTGTCCATCCGATGGCTCTGTAGTTATGACTGCCTTATGAAATATTAACTGCCCACAGAGTTTTAGTTAGTGGATGGCTCTCGGGCCAGCAGGTACCTGGGGAAGGAGCACTGGATGGAGCTTACTGACACGGCGGACTCCATCTTCTTCCTGTCTAAGACTCCCCTCTGGGGCATGGCGGGTGTCAGGACTCTCTGTGGCAGCTGGCTCTCATGGAGCACTTCCTACTGGCCAGGCTCTGGGAAGACAGTGGTGCAGGGGCTGGAGGTCTGAGCCCTCGCAGTGTGCAGCCCTCAGGAAAAGCCACGGCATGGAGACTCACTTGTGCAAATACCTGTTCTGAGGTCCACGGTGCCAGCTGCTCTGGAGGAGAGGCCCCAGTTACGTTTGCGAGTGTGTCACAGTGTCCTGAAAACACAATAAAGTGCTGCACTAAGCAAGGGGTGACACCTTTCCCACAGCGTCATAGAAACTGGCAAGTGTGTGGACCTCCCTGAGCCACCGGTGCCTGGCGCTGCTGACTGGCCCCCTGCAGAGGGCAGGAACAGGCCAGGGAGTAGGTTGTGGGCAGGAGTCTGGAAGGTGGGCAGCGTTCCCAGGGAAGGAGAGGAGGGGCTAGTCAGGCAGAAGTCTGTGGACAGACCCCCGCCCCCCACCACTGGATCAGACACTCCAGGACCCTCTACATTCCCTAACTGTGAGACCACCGGGGCTCAGGAGTGCCAGCAGGGCATTTCCTGCTGATGTTGGGGAAGAAGGCAGAATGGGTCTGTGGGGTGAAACATTGGTATCTGGGTGGCCTGGCTGCTTTGGAAAGCCACTGTGATAACACAGTCCCTGACATTCCCCCAGCTAGGCACAGGAGCCCAGCAGTGCAGCCCAATGGCCAGAGGCTGATGGTTGTGTAAGCGTGATCTTGCTGGCTTTTTCTGCCCATCCCCGGTATGACAGACCTGGAAAGCAGGACCCGGGGCAGCCCCACTCTTGGGGTCCCAGTCTCAATCCCTGGGAATGGTCTCTGGCTTCAGGTCACCACCTGTGTGAGGCTGCTGCAAAGGTCTTTGGGCAGGGCTTCCTGAGGCCATAGTGGGGCCACTCACCCTTGCCCAGGTGCTCCTGGGGCGGCCCTGTCTCTCCCCTCCCCCGAGCGGTTCAGGATTTGGAGACAATCATTGCAGTCCACATGTATCCTTCCAGAAACACTTGCCACTGACCCCGGGAAGGCTTGAGTGCCAGGTCCCAGGGTGAACCGGAGACCAACCGCAAGTGGGGCGGTTGGGGAGAACTGTTCACGACTCTACTCTTCCCGGCTGAGTGACGCAGAGTGCGCTGCGGGTGACTCCGACTGCGCCGGATACAGGGCGCACGCACGCTCGGCGGGGAGATGCCGGTGGCGCGGCAGGGCCGGGGCAGCGGTCCTGCGCCGCGGTGCGAGTGAGTGGGGACGCGGAGCCTCCCGGCAGGTGTGCGTGTGCCCTGGGGCTCCAGCGCGGCAGGTGCAGGGGCGCGAGCCAGGGGTAGGGAGTGTGGGACGGGTGGAGGCACGGGCCGGGGAGGGGTTGTCAGGGTGCAAGGGAGCGGGAGGCGGGGGTAGGGCGCAGGGTGCCGGGAATGATGCTCGGGCGCGGCGCAGTCTGGGCGCTGGTGCAGGGGCGCGGGCCTGGGTGGGGGAGGGTGCACCCTTCAAAGACACAGGGCCCGTGAGTTCAGGGGCTGGCGGGCGGGGTCCGAGGCACCCGCTGCAGTGCGGACCGCGCGCTTGGTCTCAGTGCCCTCCAAGGCCATCTGTCTGCAGACCCTGTGCAGCCCTGGCAGGGGGTGGGTGGGAGGATGAAGGGCACAGTTACTCTGGATTCCTGCTCTGGATCCTGGCTCAAAACCACAGGACCCGCTTCCTGTGCCCTCCACCTGTGCTCAGCTATTCCCTGTCTCCCCAGTGCTTCTCCAGCCAGGTGTTGAGGATGCCCAGAGACCTCCCAGAGAGGGCAAGAGGCCACAGAGTTTACAGTGAAGGGGCCAGTCAGTGCCCCTTCTATGTCCTGGTGACTCTGTTTTGGGGGTGGGGTAGGAAGCCCTGGGTTTGTATGAGGTCTGCGGTCTCTGATGGAGGGGGTGGTCTGCCAGGCCAGGCTGGGCTGGGGAGCTGCTGCTCTGTGGCTACTCGGGGAGGATGTGGCAGTGCCCTGCCCCCAAGCAGCTGGGCTCTTTCCTGGGGGCTCCGCCAGCACTGTTGTGCAGAGCCCAGGCCGTGACCCATGCCTCCCTACTCTAGTATGGCAGCTTCCAGCTCCTGTCAGGCCCTGGCCAGGTGCATTTACGGCCGTGTGTGGAATGTCCTGAGACCAAGCAGGCGTGCTGTTGAACCCCCTGTCTACACGTTTGCCCCCAGTGCTCTCCACACAGACACCTGTCTAGGTGCCTGTGGAGAAGTTAGCTATCAACCAGGGTGGCAGGGGTCAGGTGGTCCATGAAGAAAGCCTGTGACCCCGAGGACAGAAGAACCCAGAGAAGGGAGAAGGGCCTTCACGTGGTTGTTACCAGCCCTGGGTCCAGGGCTCTCCCTCCCCACCCTGCTGCCCTGGTTCCTGTTGGGCAGCGGGAGAGGTGGGCAGGAGGGGCGAGCCAGTGCGCTGCTGGCGGTTACAGTGTGGCTTCTGACCTGGACTGCTGTCGGGGCACTGAGGCTGGACGTGCTCCAGGGCTGATTGCAGCTGGGGTTGGAGGAAATGGGCTTGAGACCCCACAGATGTGCGGGGGTGGCCAGCAGTCTGAAAAGCGGGGCAGTGAACGCAGGCCCTCCAGGGTCCTCACGGGCAGGGTCCTCCGTCCTGTGCTCTGTCCCACTTCATCTCAGGGAGCTGCCTCTAGTCCAGGCCCCTAGGGGCTAGCGCGGATGGGCTGCTTTCCCTCTTTGTCATGAGGGGACACCTCCTGTGTGTCTGCCTCCCTCAGCAGTGGGTTGGGGGGCAGGTGGCTGCTCTGCAGGGGAGCAGGGGGCTCTGAAAAGGCCACCCGGGGAATAGGTGGCTCCTTGATCTCAGAGCTGCAGAGGGCACCTGGTGGCTGGCTGCCTTCCCGGGTCCAGGGTTGGGAGTGCAGTGGCCCCGGGGTACATGGGGAGGAGGAGGCAGAGCCGTGGCCCAGGAGCCTCTGCCACGGTCAGCAACCAGTGGCTGAACCCCAAGACCTGACCCTGAACTGTGGGCCTGGAGAGTGAGGGCCTCAGGCAGTAGGGACAAGTAGGGGTCAGCCTGCCCAGGTCACCATGTGTGGTGAAAGTGATGTGGCCAGAAGGCTTCCAGGTCGGGGGGGACAAGACTTGTAGCCAGCCCTCCCTCCTGAGGGTAGGGTTGTCTTCACAGACGGCACTGACAGGACGCCTGGGGACAGCCTGGCCCAGGTGTGGGCACATCTGTTGTGGGAAATGAGACAATCACCCAGTGGCCTTCTGGAGCTTTAGCAATGGAGACCCCAGCCAGGGAGAAAGGCCTCAAGAAAACGAGACTTGTCCTACCAGTGCCCTTGTCCCCAGCCTGGCCACTGCAGTGCTTCCCGAATCTGACCTGGGGCAGCAGGGGCTTTCCTTTTAGAAAACGAAAGAGGGATGTCTGGAAACACGAGACCAGGGTGCACCCCAGGGCAGAGGCTCCGACTTCCTCCCGCCACCTTCTGTGCCCCTGAGTTCACACAGGGAGCAGGGGGATGGAGCTGGACAGGGATCTGAGGTCGCAATCATCATGAAGGCCCCTGTGAATGAGCCTGGGGAGCCCCATTGTGTGTACCCTTCCAGGCCTCCCAGGGACCTGGCTGGGCCACAGAATCGGCAGGCTGGGAAAACGTGTGACCCAGTGAGGGAGAAGCGGATGAGGCTCCCCTGTGAAGAAACATGTGGCTGGGTCCTTTCAGAACATCCGTCTCCTCTTCCTCTTTCTGATCTATTTCAACAGCCTCCCGTGGCGTGTTTCCAGAAACCCCAGCCTTGCAAACCTCCTTAGGGAGGAGGCAGCAGGGTTAAGCCAGAGTCGGGGTCCAGGATGGAGCCTTTGGCCCCAAGGAGAGCTGGCTCTGAGCAGGAGGAGGGCTTCGGGGTCCCACCCAGGAGGGTCGCTGATCTGGGTATGCTCCCCCATCTCCGGCGAAGCCACAGCAGCCTTTGCAAGAGCAGAAGACTGCAGTGTCACCTCAGCAGCAGTGAAAAGGTAGGTTTCTGCCTGGCCACCTGCAGCCAGCCTGTGTGACCACAGCAGCAGCCCATGCACCACCAGCCAGGTCAACCAAGCCTCATGTGACCACAGAGATGGCATGTTTCTTTCCTGGAACGGGGTCTGCTGACCATGGGGTCAGCCCAGAAACGTGCTTTGGGAGAGGAGAGTCAGGGAGAAGGAGAGGTGGCTAGGCTTACTCACCCTCTGCGATCACACAACCATTTCCCCTTGTCTGCTCCGAGGCCGCTGGGAGAAGGCTGAGCTCCTGACTAGCACTGTGGAGCCCCTGCCTCTCCTTACCCACCCCAGTGATTTCATATCCCTGACCAGGTTGCCTGGGGCAGGGCCCCCGGGTCCCAGGCAGCTCCATATCTGCACTGTGTTGAAAGCACTGCTGGAGTTGGGCAGTTGCCACGTCAGGCAGGCAGCATGGGGTCTGCCAGTTTCCCCATATTGGGGCCCAAGTCAGGTGCCCAGGCTCTCACCCTCGCGCCTCCCCCATGCGGGGTTCCCAGGTGACGCTGGCCTGAGCACTGGGCAGTGCTGTGCCTACTCGAATGCTCATTCCTCTCCCCTGAACCCACGCCCAGAAGCCCTTGGCAAGGGCACTCCTGACCTTCAGTGTGGCCCTGAGTCCTCACGAGTCCTCAGGCAGCAGAGTCCTGGTCGAGGTTGTGCACCCGTGGGGGTGAGTGGTCGGTGGGCTCTGGGTCTCAAAGGGTCCTCTTTACCCCCAGCAAGAAAATCTCAGTTCATGGATCCCTGAAAACATCAAGAAGAAAGAATGCCTGTATTTTGTGGAAAGCTCCAAACTGTCTGATGCCGGGTGAGTGCTGTCTTTTGTGACTGAGGCCTCCCTCTCCTTCCTCTGGTCCCGTGGAAGGGCCCTGTGTCCAGGCCAGGCTGAGAGACCCTGAAGAATCTCCATTTCACCCCCAGAGCCTTTGGGGGGAACAGGCTGAGCCTCATCCTGCCTGGCAGATGGGGAGACCCCAGGGCAGAGGGTTTGGGTGACTTGTCCAGGGTGGTGATGTGGCTGCCCTGGACTGAGGCCCAGGTTGGGGCTCCAGCTCTTGCCCCAGAGCATCTTGTTTCCTTGGAAGAGAGAGCTGTGGCGTCCAGGAATGGGAAAGGGTCTTGGGGGACGTCCACAGTCCAAGTCCCCCTTGGAGGTCGAGGGTCCAAAGTCTAGAGAGTCCCAGCTGCCACAAGGGCCCCTGCTACCTTCCCCTCTCCCAGCTGGAGCCCACTGCTTGGGTGGGGCCGCCACCCCATATCCAATGCCCTGCTGGGTGGACAACTCCCCAGCAGGGGCTGCCATGAGTTGGTAAGCAAAGGGCATTGTGGGGCAAACAGCAGGTCCATTCCTGTGCCCAGGACTGCAGAGCACCCGGCAGCACTGCCCACTTGGGGTGCCTCCCCTCCAGCCCTGCCCTGCTGTGTGGTCCACGAGGCTATCTCCGTGCTCCTCTCCGTCCTCCCTGGGGAATCCCACTAGTCCTCGGAGGCTGGTTGCATATGCCACTTCTGCCATGTGGTCCCCTAGACCACCCAGCTGAGAAGTAGTAGCCCCTGCACATGTGTCCTCTGCTCTTATCTCCGTGGCCACTGCCCTGTGGCTGGGGCTCAGCAGGTGTCGGTCCTGCTAGTTGCAAGCTCTGTTGAGCCTGGGACCAAAGCAGTGTCACTTTCTATGCCAGGCAATCTGGCTGCCACTTACAAGCCGACACAGAAGGAGCCGTGTCCTGTGGTGGGAAAGAAGAGGAGCAGGGTGCAGAATCAGACGTGACACAATAATGTCACCCCAGGCCCTGTGGTTTGCCCAGGTGTGGTCACTGCGAGTGCCTGTACACCAACCTTGCTCCAGCCTGGCTCCTCTCCAGATAAGAGCCACAATTCTCCCCAGGTGGTGACAGGGACAGGTCCTTGAGGGTGAGAAATCTGCCACCAAGCTCACCTCATAGCTTTGTGGCCAGTTCTCTGAGTACTCCTGGCGCTTCACAGGCGTGTCCAGTTCACTGCCGCTGGGTCTGATGGTGCAGGGTGGGCTTTCCACAGTCCCAGGTCTCTCATCCATTCAACCAACCTCAGACGGAAAACATTTGAAAAAAGACATTCCACCTGCCTGAACACTGCAGCTTTGTTCTTGTCTTCATGTCTTAACCATACAGTGTATCGACTATTTATATAGCGTTTACATTGCATCAGGTGTCATAAATGACCCAGCTGACTTAAAGCACACAGGGGATGGCGAGGTTCTATGCAAATGCTGCCCATTTTGTCAAAGGGACTTGAGTGTCTCTGGTTTTATGGGAGTCCGGGAACCCACCCCCCATGGATACGGGGGCCACTCTGTAGGAGAGGGTAAGGGGTCCCACAGGCAGGGTCCCGACAAACCCAGTGAGGATGCACGGCTGCTCCCAAAAGCTGGCTTGGCTCAGAGGTGGAACAAGAGAAGCCCCATCCCTTGGGGCAGGCGGGTCCCAGGAGAAAGGGGCTGTGGATTGGGGCCAAGGAAGGCAGTGAACACTTGCTTCTGGGTCCCGTAGGCCATACCACATGTTCAGTGACCCACTGAGACTCGAGGGCCTCTGTGGTTGTGGTCAGGGCTGAGGTTCCTATCAGCAAAACTCCCTGCTCCAGAGGTGAGTGGGAGCAACTTGTGGATAGTTGGCCGCAGCCCAGGTGGGCACTGGGCTGGTCAGGTAGCTCTTGCCAGCAAACACCCAAATCGCCGACTCCCAGAAGGAAATAGATGTTCCGCACGAACCACGTGGTGTGGGAGCAGGCTGGCCCCCATGAACACGGGGGCTGGGGCCAGTTCCCAGAGCTAGCCTGGGGGGCAGGCCCCTAGAGATGGCCGAAGGCCTGCTGCCTGAGCTGTCTCCTGCAGTCTCTCTGCCCTCTCGGTCAGGGGGCCAGGTGCTCTGCACTGCCCTGCCCTAGGAGTGGATCAGAGCTCCCTCTGTTCTGCAGACAGACAGGAGCGGAGGAGCTGTGCCCGTCCTTCCCAGCACACAGCTGGGGGACACGTCTGTTGATGTGCCTGGAATGTTTCCACCCCCTCCTGACGGCCCTCAGCTGGGCACCGCGTGTCTCCTGTCCTTCTGCACCTCTGCCCCTCATCTGCATCTCTCCCTCCTGTTTTGTCACAGTTGCCTCTGACCTTGGGCATGCCTCCTGACACCAGCAAACACAGAGGCTGAGGTGGGGCTCTGGAGGGTCTCTGACCACTTCATTTGGTCAACAGTCCTGGTGCAGCTCCCTGCTCTAGCCCCCTGGGGAACACCAGGGATGAGCTCTAACCTCCTCAGAGGCCAAGAGCCTCTGGGTCCTCATCCCAGGGACTTGTTCCTGCCTTGACCAGGACACCATCCGTAGAATGAGGTCCTGTGGGTGTTGGCCAAGATCCTCGCAGGCCTAAACCTGCCCTGTCTACCTTGGTCTCTACATTTTGCAGGGTGGCGGCCAGGAGTGTATTAATTTCCCATTGTAATGATGGGGAAATTGAGAGTCAGAAACGCCCAGGACCCCATAGTGGACAGGGGGCAGGACCTGGTTCTGTTTCTCCCGGATTAGTTGGTTCAGTCGGCTCACCCTGTGCTACGTGGGTCCGGTTTCATCTGGGTTAGGTTTTTTTCTTTGAACTCTGTATTTAGTTAACTAGGTCATTTGTTAGCAGCAAAAGCAGAAATCTAAAATATATGTTGATTCTCAATTTAATGAGATATAAAGAGCAGTGAGTTGATCTCTTCTTGCTCCGGAAACCCTAATGAATAGCAGGAAAGGAGTAAAAGATTCCGTCTTAACCTGAAGCTCTCCTGAGGGAGGATCCTGGCCTGGGGCGGGGGGGTCGCGGCTCCTGGGTGCTGGCAGGAGGGGTGCAGTTCCCTCCCCGCCGGGCCCTGCTGATGCTGTCTGGCTGGAGGCAGGGAGCCTCCTTGCTGCTGGCCACGTAAGTCCTGGCCCTCCCTGGGCCCTCTGTCCCCAGGGAGCAGGCGCCTCACTCCTGCTGGTGGCTGTCTTTGCAGGAAGGTGGTATGTGAGTGTGGCTACACGCGGGAGCAGCACGTGGAGGAGGCCACCAAGCCCCACATCTTCCAGGGCAAGGAGTGGGACCCAAAGAAGCACGTGCAGGAGATGCCAACAGACGCCTTTGGTGACATCGTCTTCACGGGCCTGGGCCAGAAAGTGGGGAAGGTTGGTTATGCCACTCTGGTGCACCTCACTGGGCGGAGCAGGGTGGCCCAGTGGTGACCCGTGGGTGAGGGTGGGAGCCCACCACACTCCGGGGGACGGGACGGGCAAGGAGGGGCAGCTGGAGTGGTGTGGCGGAGTTACGGCTGGGTGACCCTGAACGGTGTTTTCGTCAGGGTCTGCAGGCAAACGTGGGGTGTGCTAGTGAATGGTGGTGAGGGCGTGGGAGGGCAGGGGAGGCTGGGGACTCGGAAGGCCCCGCATTGGAAGCAGAGGCCCTGGGCAGGGCAGAGCGGAGTCCAGCTGAGCCTTGGGGCCTGCACAGGCCAGGAAGGACTGTTGGGGGCAGCCCTGCCCAGGCCAGGTTCTGCAAGACCTCCACCTCAGTGTGGTGCCCACTGAATCCAGGCTCAGCCATTTGCATTCCAGCAAGGCTTCCAGAAGCTTCTGATGTAGCATTCACTCCCCTGCCCTGCTGGGATGGATGCTGGTGCCATTCATTTTTTTGCTGGGGTTCCGGAACCCCTGGGTTTCTTCATGGTTGGGTGTGGTCCTTCCCCTTGAATACCCTGAGTGTCCCTCATGGTGATGTCCGCTTGGCTGAAGATGTTGAGCAGGGAGTTCCAGGCCAGGGACCATGCAGCCTGGGCTTCCTGGGCAGCCGCCAGCTCCTTAGCCACCCTGCATCCCAGTGTCACATGTGGGTATTCCCAGTCCCCTGCTCGTCTGTCCTTACGTCACGGGGAAGGCAGTCCTGATGTCTGGCTTCTATGAGGACAAGAGGCATGGAGAGGCCCACCTGTCACTCACAGCCACGGAGGGCAGCAGCGACAGGGGGTGGATCTGAGCTCAGCTGAGCCTGAGCCAGTGTCCTAACCCAACACCCTCCTGGCTCCAGGCTCCTCCTTGCAGCCTCTAACAGGGACAGTCACCAGCCAGGGACAGTCAGTGATAGGAAATGCTGCTTGTGGCAGTGAGAAGCCTGGAGGTACAGGGGACTGGGTGAGGCCCTGTCTCCAGCTCTGAGTGTCCAGAGAGTGGCTCCACAGTCCTCTGGGGCCATGTGGTTCAAGTTCCAGGAGTGAGTGGCCATGGGCCTGCCCTGGGCCTGCCCTGCTCTGTGGGCCAGCTGCTCTGAGGGGTGGCAAGCAGCGACCACTGTGGTGTCCATTCGAGCTTCAGTTGCAATGTGTGACCTGTTTGCTTTGGGGACACCCTTGGCATCTGAGTCCCCAACCACTGAGCCCCAGCCCCAGCCCCACAGACACTTTTCTTGCTGGGTCTGAACCAAGGTGCACGGTGTCCCCTGCCCAGTGGGGTCTCTCAGGCACTGCCTGTGCCAACGGGTGCTCCTGCCCCTCTCGCTGTGCCGTGGGGCCCTGGGGCGTGGTCGGGCGGGCCACGGCAGCCCCATGCCGTGTCCAGTGTGAGGCTGCCACCACTGCAGCAGGCGCCCCTCCTGTCCTCTGCTCCCCTGCAGTACGTCCGGGTCTCCCAGGACACACCATCAAGCGTGATCTACCATCTCATGACCCAGCACTGGGGCCTGGATGTCCCCAACCTTCTCATCTCGGTGACTGGCGGAGCCAAGAACTTCAACATGAAGCTGAGGCTGAAGAGCATCTTCCGGAGAGGCCTGGTCAAGGTGGCGCAGACCACAGGTGGGCACTGAGGCCCCGTCTGCGGCACTGGGGGTGGGCAGGTCGACAGGGCTGTGCTGGAGGGCCGGGGCCCCGGGACAGAAGAGCTCCCGGTGGCTGAGTCCCCATCCCAGGTCAGGTCGACTCCCCCAACCCTCAGTTGTCCATATCTCTCCCTCATGTCCAGCTGCTCTGGGCTTGCCTTGGGGCCAGGGCTGGCTCCGGGTCATAAGCTGCCAGCGATCAAGGCCTTGGAGTCATGAGTATCCTTAGTGACCGGGAGGGGCCGGAGGAGGCCAGAGCAGGTGGGCTGACGTGGGAGTGTTGGCGAGACCCTGTGTTAGTGGGGCTGTCACCCAGGCTCCCTGCAGTGTCGGGGACCAGGGGCTTGCCCTGCCTTTCCTCCTGGAGCCCGATCACCTCCCAAGAGTGCACCTGAGTGCCAGCCGAGCAGGGCCCAGCACCACGTGGAGGGTGCGAGACACAGGGTGCCCTGCCACACCCAGAGTTCATGGGCAGGCGGGCCACATGTCCTCAAGGCTCCCTGGTGCCCCGGGTGAGCGGACACAGCTGTGCCTCCAGAGCTGGGGGCCGCGGCTCTTCCTGGCTCTGCTTTAGTGGCGGGCGGGAGGGCCAGGCCTGGCCCCGTCGGGGGGGGGGGGACTGCGTGGTCTGCGCGCGGCGGGTGCTCAGGAGCCGAGTCCCTCCCCTAAGCCCGCGTTCTCTGCCCCTCCCCGCCACCGCAGCTTAGCTCCCGGAGGCCGTCTGGCCAGGCGGGTGGGGTGTTCGGGGCACCAGCCTCTCCAGCCTCTGCGGGCACCTCCCAGGTGGGCAGGCTCTTTCAGCCCGCCCCAGGCCCTGCCCGGCGCGCCTCGTCGCCACGCCTGCTCTTTAGCTCCCGCCACGGCTTCCTCGACGCCGGCTTCCCGGCCCCAAAGCCACAGCCACGTTTTAAAAATACCTTTTTTAGTTGTAGATGGACACGATATCTTTATTTTTATGTGGTGCTGGGGATGGAACCCAGGGCCTCACGCATGTGAGGCAAGTGCTCTACCACTGGGCACAGCCCCAGCCCCCACAGACACATTTTAGGGGTGTGTGTGTGTGTGTGTGTGTGGATGGGTGTGTGTGGGTGTGTGTGGGGATGAGTGTATGTGGGGGTGTGTGTATGTGTGTGTATTTGTGTGTGTGTGGGTGTATGTGGGTGTGTGGGGGATGGGTGTGTGGGGGGGTGTAGATGTGTGTGGGTGTGGGGATGAGTGTATGTGGGTGTGTGTGTATGTGTGTGTGTTTGTGTGTGGGTGTGGGTGTATGTGGGTATGTGTGTGGAGGGGGGTGTGTGGGTGTGTGTGTGTGTGTCTGGGTGGGTGGTGTGCAGCAACACCACACCCGGCTTCTCAGCACTGACTTCTGAGGCTCTGGTCAGCACGTCACCCAGCCAGCAGCAGATGGGTCCTTGCTCACGGTCAGCACTGGGTCCACCCATGGCTGTCTCTATTCCGTCACAGGCTGGGCCAGCAGACCCCGCCTGGGAACTGCGGCTTTTGAGGCACAGCCAGTGTGTGCTCGGGATGCTCATCCTGGTATCCTTCTACCTGCCTGCATGCAGTGACCAGGCAGCCACCTGGTCAGATGGACAGTGGACAGGAAGAATGTCCCCTGTAGGTGCCACCGTGAGCCACGTGGCAGTAGGCAGCATGTGTGGTCCTCCAAGGGAACCGGGTGGGGGGATCAGGAGCAACCTCGCTCCTGTCCCTGCCTGGAGACTTGGTCTGCTGATGTGTTGGGCGCCCCTGAGTGCTGGGGAGCCGGCCTTGCCAGCCCAGAGCACCCCGGGGGTCAGTTTGTGGGTGGTGGGGTATGCATCAGGACTTACGGGGCCTGCCCATGCTGTCTCCTTTCCACAGGAGCCTGGATTATCACGGGGGGCTCGCACACTGGCGTGATGAAGCAGGTGGGCGAGGCGGTGCGGGACTTCAGCCTGAGCAGCAGCTACAAGGAGGGAGAAGTGATCACCATCGGAGTGGCCACGTGGGGCACCATCCACAACCGGGAGGGGCTGGTCCATCCCACGGTGAGCACCTGCTCCTGAGGTGGCCGGCTCGGTGGGAGGGAGGGGCTGTGCGAGATCTCCCCAGACCCTGCAGGGAGCAGGCCACCAGCTGGGCAGCAGGGACAGTGTGGCGGGAGGGCAGAGGCAGGGCGGGACGGGAGGCAGGAGGCCGCCCAGACCCCGTGCAGACTCTCCGGGTGTTGACCTGGCAAGGTGACGTCCTGCTCTGCCTGCACCTCCTCTCCAGGGGGAAAACCCAGACCCAAGTCTCTGGACTTGGGCTCCTGGCTGGAGGACTTCGGCCACCTTTCTGCCGGTGCTGAGCTCAGGCTGCCCCTTCCCTGTGGTGGTGGGAGGGTGTGCCTGTGCCCCGAGGCCACCCCTAGATCCCTCCCCTGGGGCTGGTACTGAAGAACAGAACCCTAGCGCCCACAGTCACGCTCTGCAGTAAGGTCCCGTGGCCACAGCCAGGGGCACGGGGCAGCGCCGAGGCTCCGGGGAGGGTCCTTCCTGCTGCTTCCAGCTCCGGTGGCTGCTGGGACCCCTCGGCTGGGGGCTTGTGTCGTCGTTCTCTGTATTCTCTGCAAGGACACTTGTGCTGGCCTTTGGGCTCCACGGAGATAATCTGGGCTCACGACTGTGAAGATCCCTTTTCCAAGGAAGGTGGCCCTGACCAGTTCCAGGGACGAGAGCTGGGTGCCTTTATGTCCACCCCACACACAAAATAGATCCACCCTGTGGTTGGGCCCCCAAATTATCAACCCGTTTTAGCATCAACTCAAAATTCAGAACCCCGGCTCCATGTCGGCGGCTCACGAATCCTGTCACTGGCCTCGGGCTCCTGGGGTCCGTTGTAGAAATGAACCTGGACCCAGAGAAGTTAGGTGCCGGCGAGGCCTTTCCTCAGGGACTTCTGCTAGAGCAGAGGGGAGTCTCACTAGGGTGTCCAGCTGGCTCCAGCAGGGGACAAGGGCACAGCTCCTGCAGCCTCGTCGGTGGAGGCAGGGATGCTCCTGGTGTCCTCTCCTGTCCAGGACGCTGTGACCTGCTTCCCTGCTCCCACCCCCGGTGCCTCTCCTGTCTCACACGCCTCCGTCTCCACCCAGGGTGTGCTTTTCCCTGCTGACAGGGTCGGGGGACTCTGGGTCCCTTTGTGAGTGCTCTGCGATGGCCTCCCCCACCACCTGGAGCCCTCCTCTGGGCAGCCTCTGCTACTCCAGGACAGAGTGGACCTGCTCCGCCTGGCTGCAGCTGCATTTCTGCCCACACGAGGCTCACAGGGCTGAGCGGACGTCCCAGCCCCCTCCTGGCTGCTGACTTGCTCCTCGGCCTCGAGGGCGGTGCACCCTCTAACCCTATATTCCAGTGTGGCTGCTAACGCCACGCGTCCAGGGGCTGGCCTGGCTGTCTTGTTCCCCCAGACATGTGCCTCGCTCGGTCCTCAGGGTCCCTGACTGTGTCAGTCCCAAATCTCCATGTCCCTCTCAGGTGTGGTGAGACTGTGGGATTCGTCCTGGGCTAGAGTTCCTCTTCCTGTGAGCGCCTGTGTGGCTTCCAGAACACAGCGGGGGGCAGGCATTGTGGCCATCATGGGCTTATTCTAAGGGGGCCATGGAGGGAACAAAGGGACCATAGATCCCAATCAATTCCAAAATCCAGCATGGAAAGCGTGCTAGCTTATGAAACCCGGGAATCCTCCATGCCTGGAGGCTCTGCCCAGGGCCTTGGCTCGGGCTTCACCTGGACACCATTTTCTCTCCCCCGCCTCCTCCTCCTCCCTCTTTCCTCTTCCTCTTCCTCTTCTCCTTCTCTTCTTCTTAAATATCTTTTAGTTGTAGATGGACACAATAAACCTACTTGTGTATTTGCATGCGGTGCTGAGGTTGGAGCCCAGTGCCCACACATGCAAGGCGAGGGCTGCACCCCTGAGCTACAAGCCCAGCCCCTGGACAGCTTCCTGCCCTCAAGGTCTTCATTTCTCCTTCAGGGTCATCAGCCTGCTTTCTGGAGGGTTTTGGGAGTCTGACCGCCTTCTTCGTGTTGTCCTGCCCTCTTCCTTTCAGGACAGGTTTTTACTGATGCACATTTGCAGAAGCCTGGGGGTCTCCTGCGCATGTCGCAGGATTCGGCCTCCTCAGATGGTTCCTGGGTGATGGCTTCTCTACTCCTGGCTTGTGCTGCGTGGTCGCGTGCCCACAGTCACACACCTGACCCCTGCACCCATGTAGAAGGCTGGTGGCTCCCCCACCCTCTCCTAACAGGGACTCTCTTAATCCTTGAGCTCCGTATGAAATGGAGATAGACCCAGCATCTCCTGAATCGTCAAGTCCTGGTTTTCTGCCTGTCAGTTTTCCCTTCAATTTATCCCCTTTTCTGTGCATTTTATGAGAAGCAGCAAAAAGAAAGCAGGCCACACCTTTGACACTTGGCTTGGGGAATTCCTGAGCCACCTGAGGGCATCGTGCACAATTCTGCCTCCCACAGACCCCCAGCGCAGGTGCTGCAGACTCTCTTCCCCCCAGTTCTGATAAGAAGCTCTCGTTTCCTTTGGAGGCTCCACCCTTTAACATTTACCCTTCTATGAAAGTTCAGAGTGCGCTACGTATGTGTTCCCTGAGACAAGGAAGACTCAGGCCACGCTCCTGCTCCCTCCTGAGCGCTGACCGCGTCCTCAGCACCCACGTCCTTACGTTAGACCGTGCCAGGCAGTGAGGCCTTTCCTGTCCTGTGCCTGGACCCTTCCTTCCTCCGCCCCCCACCCAACTCCAGAGCCACGTGCACCTTTGGGGTATTTTTTGTAGCAGCGCCTCACCTCCTGGTCCCAAAGTCTGTGTTTGTTTCGTGTGATGCTAGAACAAGTTACCACAAACCCTAGAGCAGCAGAAAGGGTAGAAGAACTCTGAAGTCAGTGCTGTTTGGCCAGAAGCAGTGTGTGGCGGGGACCCCCGGGCTCAGGGAGAACTGGTTTCTTATCTCTGGCAGCGCCAGGCTTTCTCTGGCTTGTGGCCGTACCTCTGCCCTTGGCCTCTGTGGCCACGTGGCTCCCTCCTGGTCCCTGTGGGTCTCCCTCTGCCCTGCCTTTGAGGAGTGCTAGAGATGGCACTCTGGGCGCACCCAGCAACACAGGTCCGTCTTCCTGGGTTACGTCCTAAGCCACATCTGCCAGGCCCTTTCTCCAAATTAGGCAGCGTCCACAGGCTCCCGGGATGGGGGCTTGATTTCCCTGGGGGTGCGTCATCCAGCCTGCTGCCCCCACCCCAGCTATCACGGTGTGGGACTTCCGCCTGACCACCTGTTGCTTCCCTGGCCACCTGCAGGGCGGCTTTCCGGCCGAGTATGTCCTGGACGAGGAAGGTCAAGGGAACCTGACCTGCCTGGACAGCAACCACTCCCACTTCATCCTTGTGGATGACGGGACCCACGGCCAGTACGGGGTGGAGATCCCCCTGAGGACCAAGCTGGAGAAGTTCATATCGGAGCAGACCAAGGAGAGAGGAGGTGAGGGGAGTGGGCTTCCAGGGCTCCCCGGGCAGAGAGCGCCGGCTGGGCAATGCCAGGGACGCAGCTGGCCCCACTGGCCGTTGGCCTGCAGGGTGCGCGGAGGTGTGATCACGTGACCTGCATTCCTTCCCAGCTCCTTCCCTGCTCCAGCAGGCTGCCTGCTCTTCTCCTGCCCCCTCCCCCCGGGCAGGGGTCCGCGTGGGCCCACAGCTTGTCTGTGTGCTCTCGGGCAGAACGTCCTACGACCCTCTTACACCACGGCAATCTCAGGTTCAGAGTTCAGAAGGGGCAACGGTCAAGATTCAGAGCTTGACTCGGGGCTCTCGAGGGTGGGATGGGTGGGCTCCAGGACCTTGGGACGCACGTGTAGGGTTTCTGTGAGAGTCGAGGAGGTGCAAAGGTAATGGGGAGGTCTCGGCGGGTACCCAGGTGTGTGGGGTGCTTGGAGCAGTGGCTTTCGAGCTTCCTGGTGTACCCAGTGTGCTGGCCCCGCCCAGGGCCTCTGACTCCCCAGGTCTGGTGGGAAGAGAACGTGCTCCTCATGATCTCCCAGGTGATTCTGATGCTGCTGGTCTGGGGACACCCATTGAGAACCCCGCTTTACTAAGAGAAGCCCGGGTGGGCGTGTGGTGGCAGGTGGATGGATAGGACTTGCTGCCAGGGAAAGGGATCCCTGTCGTTGCCCCAATCCCCTGGCTGCGGGTGCTGGAGAGCACAGGGACTGGACGAGGGCTGTGGACAGAGCTCCCTGCCTCGGCCCTGCCCGTGCAGGAGGACGAGGGCCTGCCGGGTGTGCCCTCTGCAGGGTGGGCCTGGACTTCCAGGCACCATGGCCGGGCTGCAGAGGAAAGCAGGCAGTCGCAGTGGCCCGCTGGGTAGAGAGGACAGGGCAGCCCAAGGCACCAGCTCTGGTGGCCCCCAGCCTGGCCCTGCCCGCCCTCCGGAGAAAGCCAACAGGAGTTGGCTGGCTGACATGAGCTGGTGGGGAAGAGTGACCTCAACAGAGGGTCGTGCCCACGGGTTCCCTCATGTGGGCTCCATGCTCTGCCTAGGTGTGGCCATCAAGATCCCCATCGTCTGCGTGGTGCTAGAGGGCGGCCCCGGCACGCTGCATGTGAGTACTGGCCGCAGGGCAGGCTGCGGGGCCAAGTCCTGCTGCCGGGGAGGACTGGCTGAGGAGTCTTCGCTGCCTCCTGGTGGGATCATTGGTGGGACAGGGCGATGAGCTGTCCCTGGGAGACAGAAAGGGGGAGTTCACCATGGGCAGGGCCATTTCCAGGTGGAACAGGGGGCACCCAGGGAGGATCCTGGGTAGGAGTGTGACTTGGTGGCCTGGGCAGTAACAGATGCTCCAAAGGGGCCTGGAGCAAGGAGGGGCCTGCTGGCTGTCTGCTCCCCGGACTCCTCTAGGAGGCCAGGGGTCTGCAAGCTGCGCCCAGACTCCCTGGAGTGTTTTCAAGGTCCTCGCTCCCACCCAGATCCTGGGCAGCAGCAGGGTAAAGCACACTTGTTAGGTGGCCTTAACAGCTGCTCCTGGACCTTCCTTCCAGAGCCACTCCATGGTGTGTGCTTGGCCTCCTCCATGGACGCTAGCCCACTCCATCTGTTGTAGAAAGGTCTGGATTTGGGGCAAGACTCTGGGGGATCTGTTCATGGCATCATGGAAGATGCCAGTTTTCATTTAGGACCCCCAGCTGAGAACAGAACCCTGGGCTCCTGGCTGGACAGGTTCCTCAGAGCATGCGGTCCCCAGCCCTACCCAGGCTGAGTCCCCTTTCTGGCTCTCTGCCGTCAGGGCCACCCTGTACTTCTGCACCCAGGGCAGGCCCCGTGTGCAGAAGGCATCCTTCTGGAGCAGCCTGCGTCGGGCCCTGCCTGCAGCCGAGCTCACCCTGGGCCTCAGGTCTCCATGTGGTCCTGGCCTTCCCCGGGCTTTTGTAACCAGGGCGCATGCAGCGTCCTCTGTGGCTTCATGTCTGAGTGTCCATGGGAAAGTTGTGAAGCCCTCTAATTTAGATGTGAGCCAGAGGCCTCCCTGGGGAGGGGTGCACCCTCAGTGCTCAGGAGGAGCCTGTCCCTCGGGCCTCGGGACACTCCAGGTACTAAATGCTTCCAGTAAATTCCAGCCCCGTAGCCCTCCCGCCAGCAGGCGAGCCCAGCCCCAGCGAGGTCCCATCAGAAGGCACCGGGGCTGACAAGGACTTTGCCCACCTCGTGTGGACCTGGGCCTTGCAGACCATCTACAACGCCATCACCAACGGCACGCCCTGCGTGATCGTGGAGGGCTCGGGCCGCGTGGCCGACGTCATCGCCCAGGTGGCCAGCCTGCCGGTCTCCGAGATCACCATCTGCCTGATCCAGCAGAAGCTCAGCCTGTTCTTCCAGGAGATGTTTGAGACCTTCACGGAGAGCAGAGTCGTCGAGTGGACCAAAAAGGTGGGGCGGCAGGCATGCAGTCCCCAGGCCGACCCCAAGAGGCTGTTGGCCTGGAGGGACCAGGCGGCAAGGGACCCAGAACAGAGTGCAGAGGGTCCGGTGGGTGAAGGATAGAGAGGGAGATCAGACCGTGGGACGCCGGGCCAAAGGAGGACAGGGGCCGAGTCTGCCCTTGGCAGAGAGAGTGTGGGCGGGCAGGTCTCCGCAGGGCTCCAGAGCGCCCTTGCGGCCCACGAGCCTGCCGCGCTGTGCTGGTGCCGGGAGGACTGCAGAGGGGGACACAGGGTGGGCCTCCGCTGAGATTCAGGCAGCAGAGGAGCCTCCCAGGTGACAGGAGTGGGCGGCTGAGGGGTCCAGTCTCTTGGCCACGTAGGTGAGTGAATGGAGTGAGTCTCAGAAGCATCCACCTCCCCAGGCCAGAAGCTGGGCCTTGGGTGGACCCTGAGGAGCTCTAGGTATGCCTTGGTCCATGGCCACACTGTCCTCCACAGGGGGTATGTGAGACAGATGCTGGCTGGTCACCCCTCCCTACCCAGGAAGCCCCTGACCAGCTGGGTCCCACATTAGAACTCCAGGGCCGGGGCCTCAGGTGATCGACGGTCACCTGTCCTCTGCTTCCTGGTGGGATTCTTGGTAGGGGGTGGAGGGTGCGTCTCAGTTCCCCCCAACACCGTGAGGGCCAAGCCGTGCACACCCTCATGTACCCTAGTGATCCGGGCTGGGAGGGTGCTGGGCCACTCAGGGACAGGTTGCTCTCCAGGGCCTTCCGTGGGGCACCTCGGCTGCACCATGCTTCCTTTGGGTTCTGTGGGCAGCCAGGACCCACAGACCACAGACCACGGGACACACTGAGTTGACCATGCCGGGCCCCGACCTGTTGAGCGGGGGTCAGAGAGGACACGTTCCGGGACTTGGGCTCTGGGCTGGTGGTTGGGGAGCAGTGCTCTGACTGGGTGACGGGGTGGCACGGTGACCTTGCTCTAGCTCACAGTGACCTTGTTCCGTGCGGTGTTCTGTGAGACTGTCTGTCCCACAGGAGAAAGTCATGAGGTCAGGGAGTGGCGAAGCCGCAGGCTCCCCGACCTCGGGCTCCTCTGCGTCTCTCCCCATGGCCACTGGGAACTGTCGGGCAGGACCTGGAGCTGCTTCCCAGCTGGACCATAAATCATTCAGGCAACTCTCGGAACTGAATCCGATCTGCTGCGGCCAGAAGTGCCTATTCTTCAAATCCACTTTCCATCGCTGACTCAAGCCTGAGAGTGGTGTTTTGCACAAACCTGCCTCAGGCCTGGCCACGGGGTCCCCGTCGTCAGACTCAGTTCAGGGCCTCGGCGTGGGGGTCTGCTCTGCGGGTGGCTGACAGGACGAGGGGACGTGGCACCGACGGCCTGCGCCTGGGGCTCTCTCTGCAGGGGGAGCACCGTCACAGCTGGGGGCCAGGAAGGCTTGCCTTCTGCCCTGCTTGTCTCCTGTGTGACAGAGGGACGTGGGGCTCACCCTTGTGTGTGCCGAGGGCCGGGCCGGCCCACAGGACAGGGCAGCAAGGCTGGTTTTGTTCAGGGAACATTGCTGGGGCTGATGGAGGGGGAGTGTGCTGGGCAGGAAGCCAGGAGGGTTTTGAATTTGCATGAAGGCTGGACGGTGAAGGATGGGGACACACTGGGGCCTCAGAGACGGAGGTTGGGCGTGTGAGGGGACCTGGAGTGGACAGAGTCTGTGCACAGGTGGGCAGTGTGGCTAGGCTGAGAGGGGAGGGCCGGCAGGCACGGCCAGTGTGGCAGTCCTGGGGAGAGGAGGGAGGGACCTCAGGGCCGTGGGGACCTGCTGTCAGATGTGGAGTGCCACCTGGCTGCAGGGTAGGAGATGTTGGACGGACGAAAGATAAAGATGCTGGTTGGGTGGCTGGGTGTGTGGATGGATGGATGGACACATGGACAGACAGACACTACATAGATGGTTGGCCACACATAGATAGGCACACAAGTCGGTGGATAGACACATGGCTGGAGAGCTAGATAGCGAGACAGAGACGCGGACAGATGGATTGGTACATGGATGTGTGGATAGATGGACAGATAAACAGACAGATGGATGGACAGTAGGTAGGATGGATGGTTGAAGAGACAGGGCGGGGAATGGCTGGGGCTCAGCAGGACCAGGAGGAGAAGCCTTGCACAGCATACTATCTTCTGGGAGACTCTGTGTCACTGAGGTGAAGATGCTTCATGTTTTCCACCTAATGGCCACCACACCACAATGTGTTTGGTCCTTGCATCTCTTCACCGTCACCATCTAAGGTGAGAGGAGGCGAATGGTGGCCCAGCTCACACAGGACAGGCAGGGCTTGTGCTCAGGATTCAGGCTCCCTGTTGGGGACACAATTCCAAGTGTCCTTAAAGGAGATAGGACATTCACTCATTACTTTGTATCTCACTTGGACAATTTTTTTTTTTTTTGCAGATCCAAGACATTGTCCGGAAGCGGCAGCTGCTGACCATCTTCCGGGAAGGCAAGGATGGTCAGCAGGATGTGGATGTGGCCATCCTTCAGGCTTTGCTGAAAGGTGAGGGCCAGGGAAAGTGGGAAATGGGGGAGAGTCCAGATTGCAGGTGCTTGGGATGAGGGACCCCAGTCCCAAGGTGCCATGATGCTCTTCCTCAGTCAGGGGCATGGGCCAGGGAACCGCTGGCCGTGAGCCATGCCACCCCACATTCCTGCCATCGGGAGACTCAGCAAACTCCTGGTGAGGTGACTCAAAGAGACTTACACTGAGACACATCGCAGTCAAACTTCCAGAAGACAAGACAGAATCTTGACGTCATCAAGACAGCAGCAACCTGTCACATACAGGGCTCCTCAGCAGGAGTGTCTGGGTCTCTCATCAGGGGCTGGGGTGTGGCTCAGTTGGTGGAGTGCTTGCTGTGCATGCACAAGGCCTGGGTTCTAACCCAGCACAAAACAAAAACAAAAACAAAACTCAGATTTCTTATCAGGAGCTACAGAACCAGAAGGAAGTGGAGGGATATAGTCAAAGTACTAAAGATAATGTGTCAACCAAGAATCCTATACCCAGAAAACCGTCCTTCACAGTGAAGGAGAAACTAAGATGTTCCCAGATAAATACAAGCTGAGGGTGTTTGTTACCACTAGATCTGTGGTGTAAGAAATGCTCGGAGAGACCCGCAGAATGGGGTGAAAGGACACTGGACCGGACCTCACAGCCATCTGAAGAAATAAAGATTCCAGTAAAGGTCAATACATGGACGATTATAAAAGCTAGCATTATAGTAATAATGGCTCATAACTGCAGTGACAAAGTTAGAAATCAGTGGCAGAAGTAACACTGGGAAATTCACAAATCTGTGCAAATTAATCAATACACTTTCAAACAACCAGTGAATTGAAAGAGAAATCAAAGGGACGTTACAAAATACTTAGAGACCCCTGGAAATGAAAACCCAACATACTGAAATTTCTGGAAAAACAGTGCTCAAGGGGAGATCTTCATCTATGAATGTTACATCAAAAAATCAAGGGGATGTGCTCAGTGGTAGAGCACCTGCCTAGCGTATGCAGAGTCCTGGGCTCAATCCTCAGAACTGAATAGTCATCTTTAAATAAGAGACCTCTCGAGCCAACAACCTAACTGTAAAACTTACGCAACTAGGAAACATAGGACACACTAAAACCAACCCAAGGTTTGCAGAAGGCAGGCAATCGTAAAAACGAGAACAGAGATCCACGTCCCAGAGAACAGAAACAACAGAGAACACCAAGGAGATCAAAAAGAACAACAAAACCAATGCCCCTGTAGTTAGGTGGACTAAGGAAAAGAAAGAAGGCTCAAATCGCTGAAATCGGAAATGAAAGTGAGGACGTTACCACCAAGACGAAGGGTCGCGTTGGTATGAGCAGACATACTCCAACTGATCGGATGACCTAGACGAAGTGGACACAGTCCCGAAAACACAAAACCTACCAACACTAGACCACGAGTAAATAGAAGACCCGAGTGGACCTATCACCAGAAAGGAGATTGAGCCAGTGGCAGAGGTCTCCCCAGGAAGAAAATCCCTGGATTTGGTGGTCTCACTGGTGAGTTAGCCAAACATTTAAAGAAAAACTGACACCAATCCCTCCTAAACTTTTCCAAAAAATTAAAGAGGAGGGAAGACATCCTAACTCATTCTGTGAGGTCAGCGTTACCTTAATCCAACTCCAGACGAAGATGCTGCAAGAAAGAAAAGTACACAACAACAATCTTCAGCAAGGGTGCTAGGATCCACTCTTGTCATGGACAGACCTTGTCATGCAAGACCCCAACTGTGAGGCTCCTGGAGGAAGGCAGAGCAAAAGTGTCATGACATCAGATTTGGCAGTGATTTCTCGGAAATGATCCCAACGGCTTAGGAAACAAGAAGAACAGGCAAACCTAGCTCATGAAAACGAGAAACCTGGTGCGTCAAAGGTCACTCTCCACAGTGAGAAGGTGATCCACCCAACAGGAGAAAATTCTCACATCCTACGTCAATGAGGGACTGATGGCAGGTTACAAAGGGAACTCGTACAACTCAACAATCAAAAAATCCAATTAAAAAAAGAGACACCAGAACAGGGCACGGTGGCACACACCTGTAATCCCAGCAGCTTAGGAGGCTGAGGCAGGAGGACCACAAGTTTAAAGCCAGTCTCAATGACTCTTACTCTCAGGAAAATGACTACATGATCCACCCGATTCAGGAGTCAAAGATCATTCCTTCCCAAGGCACCCGGCAAAGCTCAGGGCTGAGTCAGGAGTGGACACTGCCCAGGCACACGCACGTACAGAGGGCATGTTCCCAGCACTGGACGAGACCACGTCCACGTGCATGGCTGCATATCACAGACGCAGGTGGGACGTTACTGACCCAGCTCAAAATAAAAAATACAGAGGGCTGGGGTGTGGCTCAGTGGTAGAGCACACTTGGGTTTAATCCCTAGTACCAAAAAATAAAAAATAAAAAAAATAAAGACACTAGACTAGAGCAGACTGCCTCCACAGAAGGCATGTGTGTAATAAATGTGTGACATGGTGCTTGGCATCTCGGGTCACTAGGGACGTGCACATTCCAGATTTCTGCAAGAGACCATCTTGCATGCTTTAGGATAGTTGCTGTTAAAAACAAAGCAGAAGGGGCTGGGACTGAGGCTCAGTGGTAGAGCGCTTGCCTTGCACGTGCAAGGCCCTGGGTTCAAGGCCCTGCACCACATAAAACTAACTAAATAAATAAAATAAAGTTAAAAAACAACACAAAGCAGAAAGCAGCACTGGTAAGGCTGTGGAGATGGAGCCCTGTGCCCTGCACGTGGGTGCAGAGGGTGTAGCCGCCATGGAGAGCAATACAGCAGGTCCTCGAAATTCCAAGCCCTCGAGCAACTGGGGGCACACCCAAAGGACCACAGGAGGCCTTCAGGAGGGAGCCCATGTGCCCACCATCACAGTGGCTCTGTCCGCAATAGCTAGGGGGCAGAGACAGCCCAGTGTCCACTCATAAGTGGAAAGATAAGCAGTATGTGGCCCGTCCACCCAATGAACAGTATTCAGCCTCTAAAAGGAAGGCGTTTCTGGCACCTTCTACCACACGCGGGGACCTCAGGGCAGGCTACCGAGGGATCGTAGTCATAAAAGTACCAATGCCACGTGCGTCCAGGTCCACGAGGGAGCTGGAGTCTCTCATCCAGAGTCAGCGGAATGGGTGCCACCCAGAGGGCGGCAGGGAGGGGACGGAGCTCCAGCTTCCAGGATCAGAGGGTCTGAGGTGGGTGTGTGCGGGTGCCCGGCATCGTGGGTGAGTTGGGCACCACTGAGCCGCACACTCGCAGCACTAGGATGCCAGGCGCTGTCTTGTGTGTTCAGCCACAAGGAGAGCTCCGGCAGCTGGGTGACGCTTCTGTCCTGTCTCGCTGCTCTGCACCGAGCGCCGATCCTGCGGGCCGCCGCCGTGTGCGCGGCTGGCTCCTTTCCCTGCGGCGCAGGAACAGTGCTTTCCCGAGGTTGTGACTACACCACGGTTGCTTTTCCCACTCATCGGTGGGTGGATATTCAGGTGGTCTCCAGTTTGGGGCTGTTGGTTTTCGCTTCCCTGGGCAGAGGGGCCAGGAGAGGGACCCGTCGTCACAGTGTTTTTAACCCCTGCCCTCACCCGCAGCCTCTCGGAGCCAAGACCATTTTGGCCATGAGAACTGGGACCATCAACTGAAGCTGGCCGTGGCCTGGAACCGCGTGGACATTGCCCGCAGTGAGATCTTCACTGACCAGTGGCAATGGAAGGTGAGTCCCGTGGAGGGACCGGCTGGGCCCATGAGTCCTCCTCGGAAGCCAGACCAATCCCTGGGGCGGGTGACCTAGGCCGGCTCCGTCCTCTCCAGACTGGAGGCAAGGGCAGCCCGTCAGGTCACTGAGGTCGGCTCCGCCAGGCAGCGACCCGTGTGACGGCCACCCACGGGCTCACTCTCAGCCCTCAGATCTGCACCCTACGATGACGGCCGCTCTCATCTCCAACAAGCCCGAGTTCGTTAAGCTGTTCCTGGAGAACGGGGTGCGGCTGAAGGAGTTCGTCACCTGGGACACGCTGCTCTACCTGTACGAGAACCTGGAGCCCTCCTGCCTGTTCCACTGCAAGCTGCACAAGGTCCTGGCCGAGGAGCGCCTGGCCTGCGCGCCCACTGCCCGGCTGCAGATGCACCACGTGGCCCAGGTGCTGCGGGAGCTCCTGGGGGACTCCACTCAGCCGCTGTACCCCAGGCCCCGGCACAGCGACCGGCCGCGGCTCTCGCTGCCCGTGCCCCACATCAAGCTCAACGTGCGTACCGGTAGCGCTGCGCCAGGCTCTGCCCCAGAGCTCTGGGTGTTGGCAGTTGGCTACACGGGTGGCCAGCGGGGGAAGGTGTGCGCGAACCTCAGAAATTAATGTTCCTACAGTCCTGAGGCCAGGAGTGCCAGGTCACAGTGCCCACGGGGCTGGGCGTCCCTTCCTGCTGCAGGTGGCTTCAGGTGGAGACAGGGAGGGTTGGGAGGGAGACACCCATCTCTGGTCTCTTCCTCTTATAAAGAAGCCAGTTCTGTTGAGTAGGGCCCCCTCGGTGATCTCGCTTTATGTCATTACCTTCTTAAAGGCCTTGTGTCCAAATCCCAAGGTCGGGTCGCACCCCAGGTTAGGGCTTCCACAGAGAATCTTAGGGGGCCCAGCAATGCTCTTAACGCCGCCTTCCTCGAAGTTCCAAGCGGTAGAGAAGGTTTCAGGGAGAGGCCAACTCTGCCGGAGCCCGGCCTGCTCCCCAGGTGCTCCTGGATTTCCTGCAGCTGGGTCAGGAACGTCCCACTGCGTCTGTGACACGTGGCCATGCACGTGGACTGCAGAGGGCGGTCTCGTCCAGTGCTGGGAACGTGTTCTCTGCACGTGCGTGTGCTGTGCCTGGGCAGCGTCGGCTCCTGACTGCCCTGAGCTTTGCCAGGTGCCTGTGGAAGGAATGACCTTTGACTCCTGAGTCGGGTGGATCATGTAGTCATTTTCCTGAGAATAGAATGTGCTTCGATTCCTGTTTTGAACCTCGGCCCAGCCGCAGCCGAGCTGTGCTACGTGGTGCTCTGTGCCCGTGTCCTCGGGCTCTTGCCGCACAGGGCACGCGCCTTGGGCTGCAGCTTTGTCTTGGGGCTGTGTTTGCTGTGTCCTGACATTGGCTCAGGGTGGCTCTGTGGAAGCCACGGGTTTTCTTCCTCGGCTCCAGAGGCGCCTATGTGGCTGGAGCGAGGTCTTCCTCCCGGCGTGGAAGCCTCCCACGAGTGCGTGTGGCCCAGAGTCCTTTGTGAGCGGGTCTCACGACTCTCTCGGTTTCCTTCTGGCTGTGTCTTGGTCTGGATGCTCTGTCTCTTCTAAGATGGCACCTGGCTTTGTCTTCTGTCCACTAGGCGACTTTCTGCCTCCTCCAGGTTTGGCAACCCACCGCTGGCCCGGGCGAGCCGCGGCTGACCTGGGGAGACGGGGCGGCTGCTTGGTCGCACAGACCCAGCTCTGCCCTTCTTGATGTGGGGATTGCCCTCCACCTCTGGGAACTGTTTCCTGGCCATCTGAGAACATGACCGTGGGGCTGGGAGTGGGTTCTGGTGCTGCTGAGTGGGCTCAGTGTCTGTGCTGTCACCTGCTGCTCAGATGGGACCCTCGCTGTCCCTGCCTGTCCTGAGTTCCTCTCTGCAGGAGACACCGTGTGGGGTCCCCTCGCAGAGCTCACGGCCACAGTCCTGCTCGGGGACTGCAGGATTCACTCACTGAAAGAGCTAGGGTGCCATCAGATGGGCTTTGAGCGCATGGCACGTTACAAGGGTCTCAGAGTGTCCGTAAAGGAGACAGATGGGTACCCCCGTTCCAGAAGTTTCTCCATGTCTCTGGAATAGTGGCCCTCGAACTGCGGTGTGTGTAAGCATGACCTGGGCTGCTGAAAATGCAGGCTATGCTCTTAGTCTCTGGGACAGTGACCCTGAGGCCGGGGCGGGGCAAGACGGGTGTTCCGACAGCCCTGGCTTCTGATGCCAGTGGGCCTCGGTGGGACCTGGGCTGTCCGCTGCCCCCAGGTGCAGGGAGTGAGCCTCCGGTCCCTCTACAAGCGCTCATCGGGCCATGTCACCTTCACCATGGACCCGGTTCGGGACCTTCTCATTTGGGCCATCGTCCAGAACCGCCGGGAGCTAGCGGGCATCATCTGGGCACAGGTAATAAGACTTGCTTCTTGGAACACAACTATAGGCTATTGACCAATGGAAGGAAGCCCAGTGCCCACAGCAAGTGGGGCCCCCCACAGCTGTGCAGGGAGGGCAGTGGGGTCTGGTCACAGCAGGACTTAGTGCCCTGTGTTGCAGAAACAAGAACTTTGCTCTAGGAAGGAAATCTTTTTATTTTATCATTTTTTTAAAATCCTGCCAATACTAAGGGACACAGCTTTTGGTAGATGAACGGATAGGGAGACTGTGGTGTATATACACAGTGGAACATTGCTCAGCGTTAAGAGAATAAAATCATGGCACTTGCAGGTAAATGGGTGAGTTGGAGAGTATCAGGCTAAGAGAAGAAGCCAAACCCCAAAAACCAAAGGCCGAGTGTTTTCTTTGATATGAGGATGCTGACTCATAATGGCGATGGGGGGGCTTGGGAGGAACGGAGGGACTCTAGATTGGGCAAAGGGAATGGACGGGATGGGAGGGGGCGCGGGGGTAGGAAAGACGGTGGAATGAGTCAGACATCATTACCCCAAGTCCATGTATGAAGACACGAATGGTGTGAAAATACTCTGTGTACAACCAGAGACTTGGAAAATTGTGCTGTGTGTGTGCAATGTGAAGCGAATTGCATTCTGCCCTCATATATAACAAACTAGAATAAATAAATGATTAAAAAAAGGCCTGCCAAGCAAACTTGTCATGTCCAGGGCCAAACTTGTCATGTCCAGGGCCAAGGCCTGTGGGAAGACTGTCCTTTGTGGCCCCTCCAGGTCCTCGTAGGCCAGGGTACGTGCCATGTCATCTGTCCACTAGGGTAGTGTAGGGCAAGCAGATGTCTCCGTGGTCGGTGCAGCAGGTGGCCATCAGCAGTGGTTGCAGGCCATTGTAACAGCCCACACTGTGCCTGGCTGTGCCTGGTCCTGGGCAGGGGTGGCCCTGGCTGGCTCCAGGCCTCACTGTTCCCCTGGTGTCCCCAGAGCCAGGACTGCATTGCCGCTGCCCTGGCGTGCAGTAAGATCCTCAAGGAGCTGTCCAAGGAGGAGGAGGACACAGATAGCTCGGAGGAGATGCTGGCCCTGGCGGACGAGTTTGAACACAGAGCCATCGGTGAGCGCTGAGGGACACTGGGCCCAGACCCTGGCTCACACACCTGCTGTCGCCCTGGGGTCCTTGCCTCTTGGCCTGGGTGTTTGGCGGCATCAGCTCCACCTGCCTGTTTTGCCCCCATGTGCAAAATCTCAGTCCAGGGTGCCCTCTGGAGGGCTCGCTTTGTGACTCTCCCCAAGGCTTGGTGACTGTCACCTGCTGTTCTGACTCAGATCTTCCTCTGCCCAGGGGTCTTCACCGAGTGCTACAGGAAGGATGAAGAGAGAGCCCAGAAGCTGCTCATCCGCGTGTCGGAGGCCTGGGGGAAGACCACCTGCCTGCAGCTGGCCCTGGAGGCCAAGGACATGAAGTTCGTCTCTCACGGCGGCATCCAGGTGACCGCTGAGGCCCGCCGGCAGTGCCTGGGTGCTCTGGGACGGTCACAGCCTCCAGGCCTCGGGAGGGACGGGGCAGCTCACTGCTGCTGCAGAGCAGGGCAGGGGCCACCACAGCCTGGCACAAGGCACGTCCCCAACTCTGGGGGCTCCTCCCAGCACAGCGTCAGGCTGTCACCGTGTCCAGGTGGCTCCATGTGACCTGGGGAGGAGGAGTCCTGGCCCCACCCCCTGGGGCTTAGAGGGCCAGCTGAGTCCCAGTGAGAGCCTGGGACTGAGGGGCCTGGGGACCTGCGGGGATGGCACCCTCAGCTCTAGAAGGGAGGACAGACGGACGGGAGTCACAGGTGGACCCCCACTGGTGTGAGACCCACTGTCCTCCCCTTACCACTGTGGACCACCGCCCAGCTCTGCCCCTCTGGAGCCCGTCCTGCAAGGGCACCTGTCCTGTGCTGGCCACCTGCAGCGGGGGCTCAGAGCGCACCCTGGTGGTCACCGAGGGTGTGGTGTCACCCTTGGGTGGGATGAGAGGTGGGATCAGGCAGGCTGGGGTGCCCACCCTCCCAAGACCCCCGCTGTCCACAGGCCTTCCTGACCAAGGTGTGGTGGGGCCAGCTCTGCGTGGACAACGGGCTGTGGCGGGTCATCCTGTGCATGCTGGCCTTCCCGCTGCTCTTCACTGGCCTCGTCTCCTTCAGGTGCAGCAGGGCCTCGGGGCTGTGGGTGCTCCTGGGGGCCTGGGAGCAAGGGGCCTGGGTCCTGCCGCTGTGCCAGGGCCCTAGGGTGGTTGGGATGCACGTGGGCAGGAGGTGGAGGGAGGACCCACGGGCCCCACACCCACAGGCCCCCGCACCCACGGGCCCCACACTCATGGGCCCCCGCACCCATGGCCCCCACACCCACGCCCCCCACACCCACGGACCCCACACCCATGGCCCCCCACACCCACGGACCCCCCACATCCATGGACCTCCACACTCA